CGTCTCGCCAGCACGTTTTATCTGTTTATTATTGAGCCCCTTGGTAGCTGGGAGGTTGTACCTCATTGCACTATAATACATTTTCAATAAAATCACGTATTAAGACAGAACTCAGTAAAAAATATTTGCCTGAGGCCCCAGATACCCAGGAAGGAGCGCCAAATGTGTCCAAGAACCAGTTCAAGGCCATCTCCCCCTTCTTGGTGCCTGTAGTTCAGAGGCACGAGTCAGTAACAGGGGCGAGGTCAGCTGAGCCTGTCAGGAGTGAGTCTCAGGCCCGTCGGGACCTGCTGGGTCGTGCGCCGCTGACACAAGGTCCCCCCAGGAGATCCGGAGGCAGCTGAAGGTGGCGAAGAGCACAGTGCTTCCACCCCAGGGGCGGAGAGTGAGTCCACCAGAGCCCACCGGGTGCAACAGGCCCAGGAGCAGCTGAGCGCTCCAGGAGAGCTCTGCCACCTCCAGAGAGCCGGCGGCCGGGGCCCTTGGTGGAGCCTGAGAAGGACTTGCCAGACTCCTCACAGGTTCTCACCCAATTCAGGGCCGTTTCTCAGGGCCGTTTCTCAGGGTGGGTTTGGAGAGTGTGAAGAGCATTAGCTCGGTGACTCTAGTGACTTCACAGAGCTGGACAGAGGCAGCTGTGAGTGCGGGGAGCGAGCTCAGCCCACAGCTTCCTGCAGAGGGTGGGGGTGCCAGGCCTGCCGGGCTGAGCAGACGGGGCTGGGGGACAGGAGAGGAGCCTGGGCGGAGGTCTTGGAGCCCAACACTGGCTTGACTGTGGTGTAAAAGGGCCACTGGAAGCTGCTGTGGGATCCTGAGCAGGTGACTTTGACCTTGTTCCGAGGGGGCCAGCCACAGAGCCAGAAGCTGCTATGGGACAGGGCATGGTCCCCCAAGGTCCCTCATGGACAAGGTTTAAGTGGAAGTGCGGGAACACAGGTGGAGCCAGTGCCTCTGGGTTTGGTGTGTGGTTCTGACCCACCGGCAGCTCTCTACCCATCAATCCAAGGAAGGGCATGTACCGCTCATTCGGGGCCCATGACCACTGTCCATGGTGAGCTTCCCAGGACCACGAAGTTCTGGTTCCCCCAGGGTCAGCCCCTCCTCAGAGTCCCTGACTCCCACCGCCCTTCCCTGCTTTCCCTCCTTCAGATCCACCCAACAGTGTCACCGAGCACTTGCTTAGGATCCTACAGAGACTCAAGGGCCCAAGAGTGCCTGGCGTGGATCAGTGTTCTCATGGGGCGATGCACAGGGCTCTTGGAATCTGGGGGTTCCCTCGGGCTGTGGCATTGCCTGGGTGTACTCCTGGTTTGTGGTGGTGGCCAGGAGTGTCAGGGACCAGCACTCCCAGGCCAGTCCTGCCCGGTGAAGACTGTTCCCTCACCCCACATGGGTCCCTAATGGCTCGTTCAGCAGGGAGGGTAAAAACCCTACCTTTAATCATCTGAGCTGAGTACAAAACCTACTTCAAATACATTTAATCTTCTAAGTTTAGAACCTAACACACACCCCAGTGCGTCCTCCCAGGTAGGTGTGAGATACCGTAGCCTCTCCCAAGTAAATATTGAGAGAAAATGGTATTTTGTTTCTCTCTGCCCCCTGAAAGTGACGTCAGCCACGGTGGTGCCAGCCTGCTGCCTGAGTCTCCAACAGTTCCCTGTCTGTTGCGCCAGCAGCAATTCTGCAAGTCAGAATGTCAAAGAGTGACGTCCAAAGTGTTGGGAATAGTGACTCCTTCCAACTACAAAATGAGATGGTGGCAAAGATTGCTACTGGACTCATCAGCTAACGAGGAACCCGTGGTCCAAAGTGGCTGAGCCGTGTGCTGAGAGGAGGGCTGACTGGAGGCAGCATGGGCCCCTGTGCACAGGCGGCCATGGGACACCTCACGGTGGCCCTCCATGCTTTTTCTCTTGCCTTCCAGTGGGCAGGAGCCTTGTGCAGGGCTTTGGTCTCTACAACCTACAGAGTTGGTGGCTCAGAGGCAGTGGACGGAGCTGAACAGGATGCCAGGGTCCACCTGTCTGACCATTTCTCTTTCCCAGCTGATCCTGACGCAGCCATCTTTGTTCTCAGGGTAGAACTGTAATTATTTTAAAATTGTGTGCGCAGGTAGATGCGACCTCCTGTGGAATCCGTGTTGGAATGGTACACAGGTGTGGAAATGGTGGTGTGCAGGTGGGGCTGAGGGCCCTGCCCCGACTCACCTCCATGGGTCTGCGGCTCCTCTCTGTCCAGGGTGCCTTGGAAAACATGGCTCCTGGGAGCCCCAGGAGGTGGGAGCTGCACCATTGCCTGGCATTGTGACCTTGGGACCTTCTTTGCACATCTTTATCATCTGGTACGAAATTGTACAATAATAGACTCCCAGAGTGACGTGAGGATCAGACAGGTCTCTCCCATGGAACCAGGTGACGGCAGATCTCGTGGGAAGGTCTCGTCTCTCAGCATGGAAAACTTGTTCCAGATGTGGACACACTGGTCCCAGCAGCTCCAGATGCCCGCCAGAGGCCTTTGGCTTTCCACAACAAGGCCAAGGGCCGGGTGGGAGGGCAGGAGGGAGAGGGCAGGATGACAGGAGGTCTAACAGGTGTGGGAGGCCGTTCTTGATGGGTCTTATGTCTACAGCTTTTAAAATCCTGTAGGCATTATCGTCTTTATTCAGTCAATGAATACAACACTTTGTCTAAGTTTTCTGCAAATTCACTATTTCCCTCTTCCTTCTTGCAGGCTTTGCCCACGGAAGCTCTTCCGCTCAGCCTTCTCACCAACTATTTGTTTTCTTTCTTCTGGTTTGCCTCAAAATCTCTTTCTTTCACCTCCAGTACCGAGGAGCCTCTGTGCTGAGTGCAGGTGGTAGTGGGTGATTTCCCGTCGCTTCCTCTCGTGCCTGAGCACACCACGCCTGCCCCCCATGTCCAGCACTGTGCCGAGGCTGCCGCCAGCCATCTCCCTCCCGAGGTCACCCTTTCTCTTCTCCTGTGGGTTTCCTCAGTTTCAGTGGAAGAGGTCTGGAGAGGGATTGCCCTTTGTTATCCCACTTTAGGTTTTTGGAATTCTTGAATTTGTGCTCTGGTGTGTGCCCCGCTCTGTAGTCATCAGCCATTCTCTCTCAGCTATCGCCTCTGCCCACGGTCTCTCCTCTCCCAGGATTGGCACTACGTGCATGTTGGGCCTTGTTGTATCAGTTAGCCAGCTTTCCATTCCTGTCCCCTTGGCCACATCAGGCCACAGGCCAGAGAGCCTTCAGGACATCCTCTCATCCCTGCCCTAGCAACCCTGCAGGCTGGGGACAGACCACACCTACTGACCAATCCTGGCCCACTGCCTGATTTCCTATGGTCCACAAGCTAACAAATGGGCTCTCGTGTTTTTAAATGGCTGGGGACAGACGAAGAACGTCTCGTGGTACATGAGAGTTACACGCAGTCACCATCTCAGCAGTCACTAGTAAAGGTCCACGGGCATGGTCACACGTTGGCTGTCAGCTGAGGTCACCTTTGCCCCACAATGAGAATGGAGAAGTCCTGCCGGAGTCAGGGGGAGGCTGCACAGCCCTGAGGAGTACAGCTGTCATGGAGGAGTGTACCCCGCAGCGGGACCAGAGCCCGACTCAGGGCCTCCACACGGCATCCACTGCTCTTGCGCCTGGGAATCTGCAGAGGTGCCGGTGCCTGCGTTGCTCTTGTGGACAGGCAGGGCCACTGGGCCCAGCTCTTCCCACCCTGCCTGTCCTCCTCTGCCGGCACACTGGCCACCTCATGGCTTCTGGGCTGGCTCGGCTAACGGGTCTTGGGGAGCAGGCTTTCTCCCTGGGGCCACAGGGGCCCTCAGCTGCTGGCCGGCTGCCATTGGCACAGTGGGGCCAGGGAGGCTGGTGGTGTTCAGAGGCCCAGTATTGTGTCCGTTTTCACTGACCAGCAAGTGGTAGAGCCAGGACGAGGTCAGGTTCCACTGGCCCTTCTGCCAGGCACCTCTTCATGCCCACCTAGGTCAGCATTTATTCCCAGCATGGTGCACCCAAGGCCTACCCTCCATCGCAGCTCACGGGGACCCTCTGCAGTCCCCAGAGGAGCGGTTCCTTTGGGATTTTGCCTTTTTAGTCCAATCCAGTTTAAGATGAACGAAGGAAGATGAGGCCCTGATGGGGTAGTCATAAAGCAGACTCTAGGTCAAGGGCACACAGTGTAGGAAACCAAAAACGTCACTCAGTTCAAGTGACATTCTGTATTTCTTCCACACACAAAGAGGACAAATACTTGCAGAATTCATATGGACAGAATAAATGCCAACTATTTCTTGAGGCTCCCATCTGAGTCCTTCACAAGCCCAAGTGTCCTATAGCCTTCTGCTCCTTCCAACCTCTCCTGCTTTCCTCCAGTGGGGGCCCCAGGGGATGCAGGCCCAGGCCCCTGGGCTGGCTGGGTGAGGTAGCATGGCCTGGGTTCAGGCCTGAGCCCTGCTCAGAGCCTGAGGGTCAAGGTTGGCACTGGAGGAGCTGGCCAGGGCCTGGGGCTGGGCAAGGGCTCTGGAAAGTGCAAGGCCACCTGGGGAAGGCACCTCCCTCACCTCCAGAAAGGAGCTAGCTGAGATGAAGGCCCTGAGTTCCAGGTGGCCGGTTCTAAGCTCCTGAGCCCCAGTATGTATAAATGGGACACACCCCTGAGGGTTGGTTGAAAAAATGAGACCCCATCTGCATCTCAGCCTGGGGCACAGTAGCTTTGGGCTGCATTTGGGCTGGCCACCTGGCTTGAGTCCAGCTTGGCCTGCTCACAGCTGTGCCCCAGAAGAGCGGCCTCTGCACCTTAGATTCCTCTCTTGCCCTGGCAGGGGCAACTGCTGCCTGCAGCCCAGGCCTCTGTTCTCTGTGGGCCCCAGCACTTAGCTCAGGCCAGGGCAGCTGTGGGGCGAGGCTCAGAGCTCCTCCAGCGGTGGCTGTGCGTCGAGCCGGTGAGCTGGCCCCGGGAGCTGTGCCAGCCAAGGTGCCCCATTTCCTTCAGTGCTGCCAGACCCTGCTCTCCCACCGCGCGGACCCCTCCCTGCGGGATGAAGACGGGTACACGGCGGCAGACCTGGCGGAGTACCATGGACACCAGGACTGCGCCCAGTACTTGCGGGAGATGGCCCGGCCAGTAAGTCCTTGGGGATCTGTCCTGGGGATCTGTCCTGGAGGCCTGTCCTGGAGGCCTGGGGGGTGGGACCCCGGTTACCTACCTGGATCTCACTGCACATACCTCATAGCCCATGGTTTTGTCAGGACAGGGCTGGTACAAGACACAGCCAGCTGGGACAGGGACTGTGACAGCAACCAGGCTTCGGTGAGGGCTGGAACTCAGCCAGCTGTGCCTTCCCTGGGAGCCACAGAAACCATGCCTGTGAGGTGGGGCCTCCTGGCTGGGCTCTGCTCGGGGGATGTTCTGTCAGCCTGAGGACACCCAGGGTGGGACCAGGGCCCAAGTCCTGGCCAAGGTGGCCCTGAAGCAGCCCAGAAGCAGCATGTCCCATCCCAGTGCCTGCTCATGTGTGACGCTCCGTCTCCCCACCTTCCAGAGGTAGTTTTCCCGTTCACAAGGACAGGGACCTTGTTGTCCTGCTGAGCCCGGCCCCAGCCCATGACAGGGCAGAGGAGCAGAGGGGCTGATAAGTGGGTCCCTCGGGCGCAGACAGGCCGGCGGGCAGTGGCGAGGGCTGGGCTGAGGAGGACCAGGGACCCGAGAGCACGGAGCTGCAGGCTTTTCCCCGGCACCTCCCTGTCTAGGCCTAGGGCAGACACTATGATGACCGAGTCCCAGCTGGCCAGTTTTCTGTTGTGGCCAGCACTCCCTCCATGAAGATGCCCTAGGGTCACCTGACCCCACTGTCAGAGGAGGGCATTGAGGTCCCCTAACTGGGGTCTCATCAAGAGGTTTTAGTGCCTCCTCCTTCCTGGAGGGCATCACCTCCGAGCATTCAGGCCCAACCGTGGCAGTGTCCTCCCAGCCTCCAGGCCTGCCAGGCGGTCCTCACGTGGCCACCACCTGAAACCTGCCCTGCCTGCCACCCTCAGGGCAGCTGGGACAGGCTGCAGGGATTGCCTGCCCTGGTTTTTTCCCGAGGTAGTAGTTTCAGAGTCGAGAATTCAGATACTGATGAGATAATTTGGGGGCTAAGTGCCTCACTGGCTGTAGTTTAGAGGAGGGTCCTCTTTCTGGCATGGGTGGAGAGTTGGGAGCTCAGCTGGTCTCGGGCGTGGTCAGGGCTGCATGTTCACAGGCCCATGGTGGTCTGTCCTGGCTTCTGCACCCTCCCTGGGCTCTGCCCCCCAGCCCTACCTGGACGGCAGTAGAGGTAGGCAGTGGGGAGGGCAGCCACACCGCTGGTGCCCCCCACCCTGCACAGCATCTGCTGTAAAGGGCAGGCCCTGCCTGGCCTCCGGGCTTCCTGCCCCTGTCCCCACCCCTGCCACACTGTGGAGCCCTGGCCTGAGATCTCTGTCCAAGCAAGGTCTCAGCCTTCTACCCCTAGGCCCCTTGTCACACTGGCCACCCTTCCTAGACCCCCTGCCCCACTGCTCAGGGGAGGGGTCCTGCCTGCTCTCCTGACACCTGGGCCGGTGGAGCTCAGTCCCTCTCAGGTTTCCTAGGGGTTTCTTCTGGTCCTGGCTGTACTATGGGATTCAAGGCAGCAACAGCGCCCAGAGCCCCTGAGCCCCCTGCATGTCCCCATCATGGAGTTGGAGGACATTGCCGTGTCCGGCATGTCCACCTGCAGCCCCATCCTGCCCACACCTGCCTGGCTCCTGCACTCCAAGACCCGTGGCCTTGGGGGTCTCTGGTGTGTAACCAGAGTGTCTGGAAGCTCAGGATCAGGACTCAAGCTCCATCCCCGTCCTCTCCCTTGGAGAGTGGTGGCGACAGCAGAGGGTGCCAGGCTCTGCTGCCGGCAGGGACCGTCCCCAGGGCTCCCACTTCACCTTGGCAGCGCCATCTCTGCTCACTGGGGGGCAGGCCGGCAGCTGTGGGGCGAGAGCTGCGCCTGATGCAATATTGATGGAAATGCGATATGCAGAGGTGGCCTGCCCGCTGTCCCGCTGGCCAGGAACAGGTGGTGAAATCCTTCATTTTCCCCTGAGGGACAGCCCCAGTCTTCCTCCCAGGGGACTTGGGCAAGGCTGCCTGTCAGTGGTGAGACCTGCCCCATGGCAGACACCCCCTTCAGGACCTGCTGCCCAGTGCGAGGCTGGCACGTGGCACTCAGAAGCCCCTCTGCACAGGAGGGTTGATCTCACTCACCTGGATGGGCAGAGGCTGGGGAGCCTTGGAGGCACATCCCTGTTCCCCGTCCCCATCCCCTCAGTTGGGCAGCCTGGCCGTGGGAGCCGGAGGGTCATTCCTTCCGGGAGCTGCGGTCAGGAACAACCTGGACAGCGAGTGTGGCCCTCCACGAGCTGGAGGCAGAGCCCAGCGTCCAGGTGGGCCAGGCCAGCCTACTCTCTCCCTGTCTCACTCCCCTCACGGCTGGAGCAGCTCTTCCTGGGCATGGCCACTCCAGAGTCTGAGTGGCTCTGAGCCTCCAGTTCCTCGCCGTGTACCAGGGCTCAAGGCTTGTTGGAGGACAGAGGTGGTGCTCATCTCTGCTGAGGTCACCTTGGCACAGGCCGACCCAGAAGACCCAGAACCCCTTCATTTCACAGATGGGAAGACCGAGGCCCAGAGAGGGAGAGACTCCTCTGGGCAGCGTTTTGTCCAGGAAACAGTGGGGCCTGGATGCCTGGCCAGTAATCGAATCTCGGCTGTAGCGATCGGTGTCCAGCGCCCATCTGCAGGTCATGATTTTCTCAGCCTGGGTGGCGTTACAAGCCTGTAACCCAGCTCACCACACTGCCTCCATGTATAATGCATGGCCAGCTCAGCAGCGCTCAATCCTCACCAGAAACCCAGGAGAGAGGTGCAGGGCCTGGGGCCAGGGTGACCCCAACCTCGGGGACAAGGTTCAATGCTGGGACTCAGGGGCAGCATGTGCCCAACTCTCAGGACCCCAAAGGACGGGACACTGACCTTTTCCCTCCTTCCAATCCTTTTGGATTTTCTCAATGTCAGGGCCTTAAAAGAGAGGTGTGGTGACTCTCATCACCTGGGGACACCACAACTGACTTTGTCTCAGCTGACATTCAGAGGACTGATAGGAAGCAGGAAGGCCAATGGGCCAGGACCCTGCCAGAAGCACCCGAGTTCCTCTCCTTCCAGTGGCGGACTCACAGGTGACAAGAGGCCCTGAGTGTCTTCCCAGGGCTTCTGGGTGGTAAGGAGTGCAGTAGGGCTCAGCCCAAGGAACCCAAGGTCCCCAGGCTGTAGGGAATGCACTGGAGCCAGGCAGTGCCCCTGTCAGGCCAACGTCCAGTCCAGTCTCTCCATCTTCCAGCGTGAGGGGCTGCTGCCAGCCCAGCTGAACCCTCGCTCTTCTGTGGGTGAGGTAGGGAGGTGCTTTCTTGCCTTCCCACTGACAGCAGGGTCCCCTGGCCCCTCCAGGCCCCAGAGGAAGCAACCTGCTGTGCCACAATGCGCTTGAGTCTCAGCTGAGGATGCTGTGTCCAGGACCCCGCCCCCTCCACCATGTTAGAGCGAGCAATGAGCAACCTGCCCCCCACCATGTTAGAGTGAGCAATGAGCAACCTGCCCCTGTCCCTCTGGGTTGCTCCCTGCAAACAGCCTGAGAGGTGCAGAGGAGGGCAGCCAGGGCTTTGCATAGGCCCTAATGCCACTCTCCCCAGAGCTGGCCCCCGCCTCTTCCTCCACGGCCAGAACTTCCACACCCAGGGAGCTCTGGGCCTGCAGGAGCAAAGGCTGGGCTCTCCAGGAAAACTTGACCCTCTGCTGTGTCCCAGCTGTGGGACCTTGGGTGGTCTCTCTTCTCATGGGCTCAAGGATTTCAGTGTTGCCTCCCATTTCCCCAGAGGGTCCACTCCCCAGCCCCTGCCATTTGGAGGGTTGAGGCCCTCTGGTAAGAGATCCCCACCCAGCCCCAGCCCTCCTGGCCACCTGACACCTCGGCTTTCAAATATTCATGTGCCACCTCCCACTCCTGGGGGCGGTGGCTGCACCAGCCCCTGAGAGCCCAGGGTGGCTGCAGCTTCCTGGGCTTCACAGCCCAGCTCCTCCTTCTAAGGTGCTCCCAGGCTGGGGCTTGGCAGACTCTCCCCAGCCACACGTGTGGAGGCTCCTGGGCTCCCTGCACAAATTCCTGGAGAGAGCAAGGTGCGTGGGGGCTGGGCAGATGGGGTCTCAGGCTTCGTCCCCTTCCCCATGACTTGTGAACTAAGGTCCTGGATGGCCTGTGACTAAGGGCTAGAACTGGGCCCACTATGGCGCCAAGACCATGCCAGTCTTCGACTCTCAGCTTTAAACCAACGGGCTGCAAAGCCTAGCTGGAGGTCCTGGGAGGACACGGGAGGCAGGGTCGCCCCCAGGCTAGTCTCCTTGAGAGGGCAGCTGGGCCCAGGGCCAAAAATTGGGGTTGGAGTCAGGCTCTGCTGGCCACCCTGCAGCATAACCTGTGCTCCAAGAACCAGTCTTTGCCTAGAAATGGACTGATGGGCACAGCAGAGACTCCTCCTGGCCCACTGCCCTCCCCGAGCCCTTGCCAGCTCTGACCAAGCCTCCCACCTGAGACATCAACAGACCGGTCGATAGGGTCCAGGCGGGTCTCAGGTAGGTCCAGACAGGGGTGTGTGTGTGTGTGTGTGTGTGCTCCTGGACCCAAGCCCTGACCCAGTGCCCTAACCCCAAGGTAAGCTGCTCTAGGCGGAGCCTCTGAGCCGGGCCTTGAGATGCAAGGTCACTCAGTGGAGGTGGTGTGGGGGACAGTCAAGGTGGAGGGCACAGTGAACCCCAGCTCCCAGACAGAGCTCAGGGTGTTTGGGGAGGGTGGTCACCTGGCACAGAGCAGGTAGAGAGCGGTGGGCGGCTCCTGGCCCTCCCTCCTGCACGCTCCCTTAACACTTCTCGGGGATGCATAGGCTCCAGGAAGGCCCAGGGCTGCCCACTGGATGCTGCATTCCTGCCTGGCAGATCTGGGTGAGTGCAAGTCAAGGCCCACCTGAGCCTCCACTGACCAGGCCTGTCCACCCCCAGGTGCCAGTCCTGATGACACCCCCGCCACCTCCATTCCCACCTCCTCCACTGTCAGCTGCAAGACTCTCCTTGGAGGACAGAAGTAGAGGTGGCTCGGGGCTCAGGAGCCACACAGGTGAGTACACACCTCAGGACCCACCAGGCCTGAGTGTAGAGGGGCCTGTGACCTTGCCTCAGGACCTCGAGGGCATGGGAGCTGTTGCATGCGTGTGTGTGCGTGTCTGCGTGTGCGTGTGCATGTGCGTGTGCGTGTGCATGTGTGTGTGCGTGTGCGTGTGTGTGTGTGTCTGCTTAGGCCACCATGCAGAGGTGTTTCTTACCCTGGGCTGGGGCACTGGTATGTGTGTGTAGTGGGGCGGGGCACTGGGGACAGTAAGCCGGCAGCTCTGGGGTCTGGCCGGGTTGCATTAGGTTGTTGGGCCTCCATGCATCATGCTCCATTGATGTCCCAGTGAGGAGTCCAGCGGTGTTGCCAGTGTGCCCAGGACCAAGGGGCATTTTGGGCAGGACTGGTGGTGTCCTTGGCTCCAAGCACATTGCTCCCTCAGGGGCTAGCCCTGTCCCTAGGTCCAGGGGCTCTGAGCTTCTCTCCACTCCCTGTGCCCCTGCCCTTTCTGTTCCCTTCTCAGCAGCAGCGACTCTCAGCCCTTCCTGGCCTGGCCAGCACAATCAGCCTGTCCCCAGTGAGCAGATGGCCCGCACAGTCCTCCCACAGATCACCACCAGTGCCCTGGCTGCTCCTGAGGTGCGTCCCTCCCCCCAGCATCCTCATCTCCCAAGGCCCCCAGCCAACCCAAGCCACCTCACTGTCCTCCCAGAGTGGCCAGGCTGCTCCTCCAAGAGCAGATGCCCCACCTGCCACCAGGTGCAACTCTGGCTGGCTATGGGCGCACTGAATTCTGAGGAGAGGGGAATTTCAGGGTGGCAGTGACTTGCCACCTCAACGTACAAAGCATAGGGACCCTTGGCTGTCATCCTAGAGTCCTGTAGCCCAGGCCCCTCAACCTGACCTTTGAACTCACAGATGCCTGTGCCCTCTTTGGAAGCTGCGACCACAGCACAGAGCAGCAGCCTGGCACCTGCCCCTCCTCAGGGCCTGGGCCAGCTCCCCTTCCCTGCTGCTCTTTCCTGGGCCCTCGGGGTCCCAACAGGTCCTGGTGGGACTGGGGATGCTCCCCTGTGCTGGGCTTGAGCCCTCGCAGCACATGAGGCAGGTTCTGTAGTGTGGGCTTCAGCTGTTGCCCCCGCCACCCCACAGCCTGCTCTGGGCAACCTTCTCTCTGCCATTGCAGAGGTGGGGGGCCCTGGTAGCTGCTGGCGGCCAGCAGACCCTCCTGTACTGCCGGGGTTCCTGTCCTGGGAGTGGGATGCTGGTATGGCCGGAGGCCCCCACTGCCTGTCCTCCAGGGGTGCCTGGGTGGGCAAGCTGGGTGTGTCCACAGTCCTGTCCCCTTACTCAGGGTCACCTTAGGGCCTGTGTGACCGTGACCGCACCCTCCTGTCTGCACAGGGAGCGGAGTCGGCAGTGGGTGACTCCCCCGATGGCCTGGCTGCGCTGCAGCTGGACGGTGTGCCATCAGGAGACCTGGACGGGCTGGTGCCCACGCGGGACGAGCGCGGCCGGCCCATCCCCGAGTGGAAGCGGCAGGTGATGGTGCGGAAGCTGCAGGCGCGCCTGGGCGCAGACCGTGCTCGCGAGGCCCAGGTGCGCCCCAAGGGGCAGGGAGGGGCCAGTGCACGGGGAGGGCGGGCTCCCTGTCCAGATGTGGAGGCCGAGACCAGGGTGTCCCCTCCAAACTGTCTGGGACTCAGCTTCCTCTTCAGAGTCAGCTCCAGGCGGAGGACGCAGAGCAGGGGCAGGCTGTGCTTCCTGCTCTCCCATTTGACTTAGTGCCCGCCCTGTCCTGTCAGGGACGGGCAAGCCCTGCCCCCTCCTTGCCGCCTGGACTCTCAGGGAGGTCACAGGGCAGGTGCACGCGGTGGCAGGGATGAGGTGATTCCCCCACCAAAGAGTCAAGCCCTGCAAGGGGAGCTCTACCTGTGGGTGTCCTCTCGGGGAAGGTGACCTTGAGCAGGGGCTGGGAGGGCGCTGAGGGAACCTGGGTCAAGCGCATTCTGCATTCTCGGCGATGGGAGCCAGAGTGAAGCCCTGGGTGGGAAAGGCTGGCTCAGGGGAGGAGCAGCGGGAGGCTGGGGCGCTGCTAGTCCACCCGGAGGGACGGAGAGGCAGTGGAATTGAGGCTCAAGGGGCAGATGTTACAGGCCTGGGAAGGTGTTTGGGGCCCTGCTGAGAGTCGGAGCAGAGGGCTGTGATCTCCCCGGATCTTTACAGGCTCCCCGACAGTGGTTCTGGGGTCTTGCTGAGTCCACAGTTTTGTCTGAACACTGTCTGGGGGCTCGGGCTGCACTGTCCTTCAAAGCAGCAGCCATTTGCGGCTAAATTCGTAAAAGCCCTGCCCCGAGTTGCACCCCTCATTTCACTCCTGCCACAGGTGCAGGCTCCAGAGCCCAGGAGAGTGGAGTCTAAGGCCCAGCCCATCCTAGCCTGTCGGGGTGCAGGGCCGAGCAAGGTGGCCAGGGGCAGGGGCCTTCCACCACAGCCAGGAAGCCCATCCAAGTCCTGGCCCCGGGCTGGGCCCCAGGGGCTCCACAGAGCAGAGAACTCAGGGAAATGGAGGGTGGGTGGGCTGAAGGGGCTGGGGGCTTAGTCCCAGCCTGACTGAAGGCTAGGAGTCCCTGCACAGGTCCTTGTGGGCTGGACAGTACTCAGGATAGTGGATGAGGAGGGGACAGAGCAGAAGACTGCAGCCACCCGTCCTGCTCTGCCCTGTCTGCCGTCCACATACAGAAGGCTCCTGGGTTTGTTGGGAAGGGTCTGGGGAGCTGCAGCATGAACCATGGTGATGTGGGAGAGACTAGGAGGACCCCGAAGGGCGCAGAGCAGGGGCACCTCCAACTGTGGGGGGGACCTGTGCCCTCCAGCTGCACCCCAAACTGTGCTAACCAGCACCTGGCTTACTTTCTGAGGTCAGATAAGGGCCAGGGGCTGGACTGGGTCTGTAGCGGGGCTGGGAACTGGGCCATGCCAGGGAACTTGTGACCCACAGGAGCAAACCTGCTCCCCAGTGCGCGGCAGAATGGGCCGTGGCCCTGCTAACTCCCCTTCCTGTGCCCAGGATGACAGTGGGAGCCCAGGCCTCCTGGAGCAGGCGGCCTGGCGGTACTCGCAGGCCCACCAAGCGGTCCTGGGCCCCTTTGGGGAGCTGCTGACCGAGGACGACCTGGTCTACCTGGAGAAGCAGATCGAAGACCTGCAGCTCCGGCGCCGCTGCCAGGAGTACGAGAGCGAGCTGGGCCGACTGGCTGCGGAGTTGCAGGCCCTGCTGCCTGAGCCCCTGGTCAGCATCACCGTCAACAGCCACTTCCTGCCCCGGGCGCCTGGGCTGGAGGAAGATCAGGCCCTGGCCCTGGTGGCTGAGCCCACGGACTCAGCAGAGACTGGGGAGGCCGTGCCTGGCGGGCAGCCTCTGCCCTTCTGGTGTAGCCACATCAGCCGCCTGGTGCGCAGCATGTCCCTGCTGCTGAAGGGTGTGAACGGGCTGGTGCAGAGCGAGGAGTCGGCCACCCAGGCCCTGCAGGATCCCCGCGGGGGTGCCGCAGTCAGGCCCCCTCGCAGCGAGGCCCAGCGTGAGATCCAGGAATGCGGGGTGTCTGTGCGAGTGCTGCGTGGCAACTTTGAGTTGGCCCCTGGACAGCCCTGTGCCTCAGACCTGAGCCCTTGTGAACTGGCCGCCCAGCCTGGGCAGTGCCTGAGAGGCTGCTGCCCGGCTCCCCTGCAGCCCCGAGCCAGCACAACGGGAGGGGGGCCTGGGCCAGGTGACACAGAGGAGGCCAGTGACTCAGGCATCAGCTGTGAGGAGGCCCCCTCGGAGGCGGGTGCCGTGCCCAGCCTGGACTCAGCCAGCCTGCGCAAGGAGCGCATCGTCATGCTGTTCCTCAGCCACTGGAAGAAGTCAGCCTATACACCTGCCCTCAAGACAGTGGCCTGCAGGACCCTGGAGGCCCGCAAAGCTGGGCCACGGGGACAGGAGGTGGCCAGGAGCCCTCGGGCGCCCTCCCTGCTGCCCAGTGAGGGCCCCCGGCTCGGCCACCTGTGGCCGCAGCGGAGCATCATCACCCAGCTGCTGGGCAACTGGAAGGCCATCATGGCCCACGTGCCGGCCCGGCAGCTACGGCGGCTGAGCCGGCGGCCCCGCAGTCCCCTGTCCCCTGAGCAGTTCCTGCCCCACGTGAATGGGGCTCCTGTGCCCTACAGTAGCCTCCCACTGGACCTCTTCATGCTGGGCTACTTCCAGCTCCTGGAGTGCGACCTGCCGGCCGAGGAGCGCAAGATGCGTCACCTGCTGTGCTTCGAGGTCTTTGAGCACCTGGGTGCCCATGGCTGGGAGGCTGTGCGTGCCTTCCACAAGGCCGTGACTGATGAGGTGGCGGCTGGCCGCCGCACCTGGACTGATGGCTTTGAGGACATCAAAGCTCGCTTCTTTGGCTCCAGCCAGGGTGCCACTCGGGACACGGAGCCTGGTCGAAAGTCAGGCCTGACCCCCCTGGGGCCACTGCCTTCTGCCACCATCCCAAGCAGTGGCCCGGAGTCCCCTGCCCAGCGGCTGGGGTCTGGCTCCCAGCGGGGCAGCTTCAACAGCGAGGACATCTGTGGCTACATTGACCGGAGCTTTGCCTTCTGGAAGGAGAAGGAGGCTGAGATGTTTAACTTTGAGTGACAGAGAGTGGCTGGGAGGGAAGTGCCGTTTCCTCTCCTCCTGTCCTTTCCAGGCCACCTGGAGGCGAGGCAGGCCCAGGCCAGGCCACAGGTGTGCAGCACCAGCCTCCATCCCACTGTGGCCAGAGGTCCCTTCGGCTGAGGCCTGTGCTCCTCTGAGCAAGGACTGGACATCAGATCCTCTCCAGGAGCCCCGGCCCCTGTGGGCCCTGCAGGCAGGCTGCTTGCTGTCCGAGGGCCCTCGGCCTAGTTGTCCCCGAGCTCCTGTTCCCTGCTCCCCTCCTCTGGTGCTCCGAGCCACCTGGGAGCCCTTGTCCGTCCTTTGCCTGCTGCTCTGGTCCTAGCTCAGGTCTTGCCTCTTCTCTGGGGCGACCTCCCATCTGCCGAATGGGGGCAGGGCTGGCAGCTGGAGGGGGCGGGACAGGATGGGAAGGGGCCTCCCTAGGAGCAGACCATCCTCCGAGTCCTCAGGAGGTGGTCCACAGGGACTCACCAGGGCACTGCAGAGCACCTGGCCCCAGAGGGAAGGCTCCCTGTGTGGCCCTGTCTTCTGGCTGGCCAGACCCTCCCAGAGCCTCCCTCAGGGCCTGGGGCAGCAGCAGGGTTGGTCCTGGGCCACAGGGAGAAGAGCAGGCCTGTGCCCCTCTCAAAGGGAGCACACAGCAGCGGGTGTGGCCACTTCCAGGGGCCTTTGAGTGCCACAGGGCATCTCTTCTCCACAAGGTGGAAGGACAGGGGAGGGTCTCGAGTTGCTGCAGAGAACCTCCTGAACCAGGTGCTGGGGAGGGAGCCCTGAGGGCTGTCTGTGGGGTGCAGCTTGCCCCACTCCCAGTGACAGCCAGAAGGATGGGGCACCACCTAGGCTGGGGGGCTGTGAGTCCAAGGAGGGCTGGGCTGGAGCCCAGGGGGCTCTGGGGTGGGGGCTTTGTGCGATAGCCCATCAGGTGGTGGAGGGGGAAGGTTCCGAGAATCTTACACCTACCACCACCTCCTCAGAGAGGCCCCTGGGGACAAAGGGGCCAGTGGGGACTGGCCACCTTCAGGGGTCTCCTGCAGTGCCTCCACCTCGCCACTGGGGGCAGGGCACCTTGGACCCTGGGGCTTGGAGGGTGGAGCCGGAGTGGAGAGCCCCAGAGAGGCAGGGTCCCTGGGGGAGGGACGGAAGCCCCCTCCCCAGCCTCAGGCCTGGCCGCCCGGGGCCCGCTGCACCTTCCCTGGTGTCCCCCACTGCCAGGACCCTCACTGTGCCGCTGACCCTGGACCTCTGCCTGCTAAATACAGCTCCCTCTCCTGGCCAACCTTTGCCCTGGGCTTGTCGCCTCCTTGTCCAGCGGGCACTGAGGCCCAAGCCTCACTTAGTCCCACTGGGACCTGAGTGTCCACTGCACCAGAGGGATGGCATTCTGGAGGGGTAGACTGAGGCCAGGGGAGGGCCTCTGTCCAGGGCCATGGCCTCACGCTCGTCAGTCTGTGGTCAGTGCTATAGAGGGCTCTCACAGGCAGGGGCTGTGGGCGCCTTGAGCCAAGCACCAAGTGCTCTTTCTTGGCCAGTGAGGCCCTGGTGCTGGACCCCACGCACCCCACAGCCGTGGACGAGGCTGACAGAGGGCCAGGATAGGAGGGGGGACTGGGCCTGGAAAGGTCCTGCGCTCCTACCTCCTGCAGTTCCTTCATGACCACGCGTCAGGTGCTGTTGGTCCAAGGGCCTGACAAAGGAGGGCCTGGGGGCTGGGTGGTGGGCAGAAGACAGAGCCCGGCCTCAGGCCACGTCTGGGCAGGAGGTTGGTGCATCTGGCTCAGGGCATCGTACCTGCGTACGATGGCCTCAGAAAAGCCCCTGGTAGCCTCTGGACCTCAGTTTCTCAGCTAAGGGGCAGATTGAGGCTATTAGGGGGCACCTGACAAGCCCAGGGGTCCTCGGGTCAGGCGGGCTGTTGGACGAGGGAGGCAGTGGTAGCTCAGGGCCAGGCTTGTCGCCCAGAAGGAGGTGACCCCCAAGTGGCCTTCTGCAAACTCCCTGCTTCTGGGGGAAGCTGCCCCAGAGATCCTAGTGGCCTTGGCCTGGTGTGGGCCTGGGGAGCTGGCTTTTAAAGACATCTCAGGGTTTCTGATACCATTGGCCTGGGAACCCCTGGCCACTCACAGCTCACCTGCGGGGAGTTCTGTTTGGTGCCTATAAATGTCTCCAGTCGGCAGAAGCTCACTGGAGAACCCAGAGGCCCTTCTCGGAATCCTGGAGGCTGCAGACTCAGGAGGAGGCCAGACAGGAACAAGGTCAGGAGGGGCCTCTGCCAGCGTGCCAGCGTGCGCCACGGGGAGAGGCAGGAAGCAGTCGCACCAAGGGCAGCGCAGGGGCCGCGCGTCTTCCCTCCTGGTGGGTTGAGCTTGGTGAGACGTCCGCGCTCCACACCACTGTGTGGGCTGGTGCACATCAACCTTTCCTTGTCCTTTTTCTTCTTTTCCTCCTTCTTCTGTTTTTGTTTTGTTTGAAACAAAAAATGAGCAAATGAACTCTGAGGCCAGGCTTCAAGAAGTCCCCTCGCCACCTGGTAGTCACAGCCCCAGGTGCCCCCCCAGAACACCACTGAAGCTGTGGTGTCCCTTCCACCTGGTTACAGAAGACACCGTGGCTCTGTCTCCTGTGTTCTCTCTGACTCTAGGGAAGCCCACTGCAGAACAGGGAAGAGTGCAGGACAGCCCAGCAGGCTCCCCAGAGCTGCCTTCAGATCACTACAGTATGGCCAGCTCCTAAGTGCAGCCTCAATTAGACATTCTGAGAGAACCACCCTGGAATAAAACCAGATTTGTTTGTTGTCCTGAAACACTAGGTGTGGGGCAATTTGTCATGCAGCAACAGCTGACTGATACAACAGGAGTGATGAGGAGATGCTGGTGTTCAGATCTAAAGGTCTCATGATCACAGAGCAGTAGTCCACTGCACTAGGTAGCCCTGAGCCAGGAGCATGGTCACTCGGGTAAGCAGATCAGAACAGACTGGGCTGACTTAACCTGGCTGGAGATAAAGGGGCATCGGCACATCCCCAGGGGAAGAAGTGTTGGTAACCGTGCCGAGATTGTTTAGAAAAGTATCTTGGAAGAAGAAGAAAGCAAAACTTCATGGCGTCCTAAGCACAAAATAAGTCTCGCTTGGAAGAAGAGACCCCATGGGCTGGCTGGCACAAAACCCAGGGGGGCTGGCCAGTGCGGCCTGCAGGGTCCTGTCCCGGGCCAACCATACAGTCTGCAGCCTGGCCGGGGCAGCCACGGAAAGAGCTGCACTTGAGGAGAGAGGGCACTGCCTCAGGCAGGCTGGTCACTCTGGTCTGTGCACAGGTGCTGACGAAGGTCACACACTAGAACTTGTGAGTTCACGCTCAGAATCTGTTCTGGGAGGTCACCACAGCCACACCCTCTCCTCCTAACAGTAGCGGGGGAAAACCGGACACCCACAGGGAGAAGAGGACACGGGGCTTCACTTCCCACTTCCTGCAGCGAGGCATCGCCCTGCTGAGATGGAATTCAAAACCATGTTTTCAAACCTGATCTCATCGGAAGTGCTGGCCATGTGTCATCCAGTGACGAGGACCACACAGACACACACACCCACTGTGAGACCAGCGAGGCCTGAAGGGAGGCCACCAGCGTGTGAAGGCCATAGTCTCTTTTCTGCTTTATGTTTTTCTGATTTCCAAAATGAATGCTTTGTTTTTATCATCATAAAAGGAAATGAGAGTGCTCGCCTGTAATCCCAGTGGCTCAGGAGGCCGAGGCAGGAGGATCATGAGTTCAAAGCCAGCCTCAGCAAAAGTGAGGTGCTGAGCAACTCAGCGAGATCCTGTCTCCAAATAAAATAAAAAAGGGCTGGGGATGTGTCTCTATGGTTAAGCGCCCCTGAGTTCGATCCCTGGTACAAATAAAAGGGTGGGGGATGAGCAGTGCACTTTCAAAGGCGGACCCTCCGTTGATGGGGATCCCCTTTGAGCCCCGTCATTGAGTCTCCCTGACTGGCCAGGTCTCCAATCCCCACTGTGAGGCCAGCACATTTGGCACACAGCACTGTCCCCAGGCAGAGCCAGCTCCCTGTGACAGCAGCCTGTCATCAGGATTCCTGTCCTCCTTCCCTCCAGCCTGAGCAGGGACAGACACCCTGAGCAAAGTCAGCCTCTCCACTCCCCCTCCAGCTCCCTCCCCGCGATGGCCTGACATATGACACTTGGGGACATCACGGGGCTCTCTCACCCCCACGTGAGCGTGCAGAGCAGGGCTGGAGGAACAGAATGGGGAACAGAAGCAGAGAAGGGGCGGGGCGGGGGTAGGCTAGCTGAGGAGGGGCGCGTGGAAGGAGGGACCCCACGCGGGAGCCGGGAACGTTCTGTCCAGACTTGATGCCAGGCTCTGTGTGACCGCTGTCCCCTGCCTCCACACACTCATCCTGGGAGCAGGGGCTGTGGCCTTTAGCTTCAAACCAGGCCACAGCAGCTGGGCTGGCCAAGCAGGTGCCTCTCGTGCCCGGACACCCCACTACCTTGAGAGATCGCCTCGCTCTGATGGGAGGCTGTCACCGGGGCCACCTGGCCCCTCTGCTCTGTAAGACACTCCCTGACTCGGCACTGCCAACACACCAGAGATGGTCATTTTAGTAGGAAGAGCTGACCAGTGAGCCTCCAGCCTGACCGGCCCAGGCTCAGGACCAAGGGCTTCTCTCTGGTGCGTGGAAGCCCCTTGGCTGGGAAGACTGGTTCTGACCACTGGCATGAGAGACTCCCAGAGACCCCAGCCCCTGGGCTCAACCTCCTGAGCCTCATTCAGGCCCAGATGCGAGGGGCTCCCTGTGAGCCCTGTGTGTCTAGATGTCTTCGCTCTCTCGGGTGCTCAGGATGAAGGAAGAGACCAGGCAGCCCAAGGCCAAGGCCATGGCATGGCAGGGAGGGAGCCTGGCCTCTGGTTCCCTGCATCTGCTGGTGGGGCTTCCTCAGTACCCTGTCACCCTCTTTGCCACCAAAACCTCCCCACTGCCATTGCAGACCCCAACCTTTGAAAGGCCTGGCTGACCGACCCTGCTTGTTTGTGGAGAGACTTCACCACCCTACAGCAGAATCAGAGGGCTCCTGGGCCCTGTCAAGTAAACCAAAGCGTCCCCTCCCCCGGTCCAGCCACGAGCTGAGACTCTCCATGTGGCCCCTGGCCCCCAGCATAGGCTCCCACTGTCCCATCCTGCAGAGGAGCAAACTGGGGAGGGGGTTGCATTCCCACCCATCAAGTTAGCCCAAGGGCCCCTGGAGGGGTGGAAGTTCGTGGGTGCCCTGGAAGCTCCCCACTGTCTGTTCTGCCCTGGGGTCACCTGGAGGCCTCAGGCCCTCTGATGTGACATGGCCAGTTTGGGCTTTCACAGCAGACGTCTGTGAAAAGCTATCACCTCCCCTCTTCCTCCAGCCCATCCCTCCCCACCCTCCCTTCTATGTAGACAGAGGCTAAAAATATCCCGTCGTCCCCACGTGGCCACCCAGCCCAGACCGGGAGGCCTCAATGCCCCTCGCTGCGGCTGGGCTGTCCTGTCCTCAGCTCTGTGTTCTCAGCGACGGGCGCCAAGGCTGGCTGAACGGTAGGGGCAGGGGCTCTGAGGGGGCGGGCAGCAAGGGAGGGGCCAGGCAGGGGGCAGTGGGGGTGAGCAGGTAGGTTGTGCTGGTGTCCCGTTGTACAGCCTGGGGGTCACGGAGCTGAGTGCTTGCGACAGAGGCCCCTCCACAGGCCGAGCCCAGTTCCTCAGGGTGAACTGGGGGCTCAGCCAACAGGCTTCCTCAGTGGGCGGGGGGCCAGGAGGCCCCCGAACCCCAGGACTGCAGCCAGGGCCACGCTGGCCCGCTCCCCGCAAGGCTGGGTTAAGGCTGCGAGCTGCCCGCCTGCTCACCCTCCCTCCTCCCTGGGCAGGTGCTGGGTGAGGCTCCGAGGCCCTGGGACCCCTGTCCCATGCTGGGATGGCAGCAGCATGTGCTCAGAGGCACCCCTGAGGTGGCTGGGACGTGCTGGGCGCTCCCGTCTAACAGCCACGGTGTCACCATCGCAGCGGCTGGCCAGGGGAAGGCAGCAATGACGGGGATGCAGAGCCTGTGGGCGGTGGCCCAGGACAGCCCCGCGCCTGCAGCTCGCTGTCTCTTGTGCTCACCCTGCCCGAGGGGGTGAGGGGGTCAAGCGTGTTGGATGGCCGGCCGGGTGCTGGCCCTGGCCTCCTGAGCTGTCCTGTCCCAGCATGAGCCCAGGCTGGCCCCCGGAAGGCCTGAGTGGGCTCCTGGGGAGCATTCTGCTCGGTAGGAAGGAGAAGGGCAGCGCAGGCCACGGAGTGGACAGGCCTCCAGCGCCTGCCCCGCGTCTCCGGCTCGGGCCTTGAGGCTGAGTACTCAGCCTTTGGGTCTTTCTCGTGTTTATTCGGCTCTGTTTTATCTTGTTTTATTTCTAGAGCATTCCGTACCCCCGCCTGGCCCTGGGGGCTGTGTGGGCGCCCCCTGGTGGATGGGATGCCTCTCTGCTGTGCAAGCCTCTGCCTTGGGGTGACTGGGGGCGAACCCTTGGTGCAAACTCTTGCTTTAGGATGTTTTCTGAGGGCAAAACACCAGAAGCCCATAAATCAACAGGCTCGTCCTTCAACGTGCCCAGGAGGAGCCTCTGGCTGAGCCACAGGGTCTTCAGTGGCCCAAGTTTGGCCGTAGCCCCAAACCTGGCTGAGTTCCAGGGTTGGCTCCCTCAGTTTCTGTGTGACCTTGGGCAAGTGACTCAGGCTCTCTGTGCCTTAGCTTCCCTGCTGTAAAATGACACCCTCACCTCCAGGATGGTGGGGCTGCGTGCTGAATGCAGAGCGAGGTGGGACCTGGAGACCCCCGTTTGGGCAGGGTAGACTTGGGAGGATGGTGGTCCAGGCCCTTCACCCCCAGCTTCTCCATTGGCAGATGAGGAAATGGGACCAGAGAGAGGAGCAGAGCCACCCAAGGCCACCAAGAAAAGGCCTGGCCGGCGGTGCGAATCGGGGGCAGGAGACCCTGAAATGCCCCCAACAGTCAATCAGTAACGCGGCCCTCAGGCAGAGGGGTAGGGGTAGGGCCGGCCTTTGGGGAGCTCGAGTGGCACAGGAGTCCTGTCCTCTGGGGGCTTGTGAACCCCAGAAGAGGGAGGGAGACCCAGGTCTGGGGTTCTTTCTTGGGCCTGTCCTTCCCCAGTGGCTTGGCCACCTCCCTCCCTGTGAAATGGGAACAAAGCTTTTCCCCTCCAAGGGCTGGGCCTGGGTCAAGGGAGGTGGCAGACGGGGGCCCCGTGTCAGCCAGGCTCAGCCAGGGCTTGCTGGGGCAGGGAGGGTGTGCACCAATGGTCCCCAGAGGGAGTGAGCCTGTCACCCAGGCTGACCCTCTCCCCTTCCTAGGAACTCAGGTGGGCTCCAGGTGCCTCTACGGTGACAGGGTGGGCTGCAGAGTGTCCCTGCCCAGCTCTGGCATCATGGTGCGGAATGTGGACGACCTGGACTTCCAGCTGCCCTCGCACGCCCAGGACATGCTGGACGGCCTGCAGCAGCTTCGCTCTCTGCCCAAGCTGGCCGACGTCACCCTGCTGGTGGGCGGCCGGGAGCTGCCTTGCCACCGCAGCCTGCTGGCGCTCAGCAGCCCCTACTTCCACGCCATGTTTTCTGGTGACTTCGCTGAGAGCTTCTCTGCTCGTGTGGAGCTACCTGACGTGGAGCCGGCCGTGGTGGGACAGCTGCTGGACTTCGTGTACACGGGTCGGCTGACCATCACGCAGACCAACGTGGAGGCCCTGACGCGCACGGCCTCCCGCCTCCACTTCCCTGCCGTGCAGAAGGTCTGTGGCCGCTACCTCCAACAGCAGCTGGATGCCACCAACTGCCTGGGCATCTGCGAGTTCGGGGAGCAGCAGGGGCTGCTGGGGGTGGCCGCCAAGGCCTGGGCCTTCCTGAGGGAGAACTTTGAGGCCGTGGCCCAGGAGGACGAGTTCCTGCAGCTGTCCCGAGAACGGTTGGCTGCCTGTCTGGCCAGTGACCTGCTGCAGATGCAGCCGGAGCAGAGCCGGCTAGAGGCCCTGCTGCGCTGGGTGCGCCATGACGCCCAGGCCCGGGCTGCCCACCTGCCCGAGCTGCTCAGCCTCGTGCACCTGGACGCTGTGCCCAGGCCCTGCATGCAGCAGCTGCTGGCCACGGAGCCGCTGATCCAGGAGTCAGAGGCCTGCCAGGAGGCTCTGTCCCAGGGCCACAGTGGGGTGAGTGAGGGCAGCCCTGAGACGCCACCTGCCCGGGGATCAGGAACAAGAAAGGGGGGTCACCAAGGTGCCACCAGCTTTGCACTGCTCCTGCCTTGGGTTGGTCACCTGTGAGGGCATTACTCATCCCTCAAGTACAGATTGTGCCCTGAGAGCCACACCCTGGGTATCAGAGTGGGGAACCTAGAAGTGGCCCCATCCAGAAGGACCCCGTGGCTCTGCAGGAAGAGCCTGAAACAGACCCCAGGCAGAGGGGCAAGGCCAGGTGCTCAGGCACCCTCCAGGGGCTGGCGTCAGGAGCTCTCTGGAGGAGGGGGCATCAGAGCAGGGTCCTCGAGGAAGGAGCTCAGCGAAAAGGAATGGGGCGGGGGGTGTAGAGATCGTCCAGGGAGGTGGCCCAGGTGGTTCCTAGGCAGGGGGCACAGGCAGCCTGGCAGCCACCAGCATCTGCCCTTCGTTTTGTGCTGACTGCAGGTGGGGCAGGTCCTGGTGAAGTGACAGACCTGGACGTGGCTGAGACAAGGAGCCACGTGGGTCAGCCTCCAGACAGCCTGGAGGGGCGTTGGGGGAGGCTTGGCCCAGCCTGGTGGCTCCTGGCAGTGTACAGGGGGCAGAATCCTGACCCCTGCCACCGCCGGGCCCTGGCCAATCACAGTGGGCCTGGCCTCATACTGCAGCCAGCCTGGGAGCTGCCCGGCTGGCCATCACAGTGATCCTGGCGGTGGGAGGCTGGACATTCTGGAGAAGGTCCTGGTAGCCTGGGACAGTGGCTCCTTACTGAGACTGTATCTCCCAGAGCAGCCCAGCCAGGGGCAGGGGGCTGTGCGTGGCTGCTGAGCGGCCCTGGGCTCAGTGCTGGCCCTCACACACGCTGCCTCCTCAGCCGTCTGCACCCCACAGCCACTAAGGCAACCCGCACACGTGTGCACACATGTAAGCACACACACACACACACACACACACACGTGTGCACCCCTGCTGAGGCTGGCCCAGGTGTGGCACTGTCACAGGGACCTCCATGGGCCCCTGGCATGGGGAGATGGTGGCCAGATGCTCTGCCCCTGCTCCTGCCCACAGGTGATGCTGGGCCTCCCGCAGAAGATCGAGGAGGTGCTGGTGGTAGTGGGCGGGCGGGCACTGGAGGAGGACGAGGGTGGTGAGGAGCCCACTCCTCAGCCTGGGAACTTCGCCTTCTACAACACCAAGGCCCGTGAGTACCTCCCCACACCCCTTCAGGTGGCCCTGGTGTCACCTTGCAGATGCACAGGGAATAGGGCCCTTGCCCAAGTCCATGTACTGGGGGTGCTCGTCGGGCCTTCTTGGGGACTGCAGAGGAGCCCAGGCCATAGCAGGGGTGGGGACACATTCAGTCCCCTCTCCCTCCAGCCAGAGTCCCCATCTCTGGTCTTTATCAGGTTCTGGTGGCCAGAGTGAAGGTCCCACTGCCCAGGGAGAGCTGTGTGGGGTGGTGGCCTGGGTCACTGCTTCTTCTCAGTGTCCCTTCCCTGGCGCAGGGACAGAGGGGCGCAGGCTGCCTGGGTGAGCGCTCGGCCCACGGGCTCTGGCCCCAGCCTTGAGCAGGCTGCTCTGCCTCCCTGAGGGTCCTCAGCTTCCTCCTGGGTGCCCTGGGCACCTGGGGCCTCTCACAGTCACCAGGAGGCCAGGAGCCGAGGGCACACCGGGGACAGGCCTGCTGTTTGGGGGGGCCTCCCTGCCTTCCTGGGAAGGGGTGAGGGGCTCTGAGGGCTCCTCATGGCTCTGTTTGCCACTTCCTGGGAAAGTTCTGGGGCAGGTGGCCAGCCACCCGCAGGGCGGCAGCGGCTGGTCGGCTGGAGGAAGTCCGAGGCTGGCTGTCCAGGTCAGAGGCTGACGAGAGGGGATTTGGGGCTGACGTCAGGAGGGAGCAGCTGTCCCTCAGACCTGGCCAGGAGGTCAGCAGGGCAGGGTGGGGTGCTGGCATCCAAGGCCGGCTAACTACTGGGCAATCCCCACCCTGGGGTGACACAGGCATGAGTCAGGGGACACTCGGTCCCTGCCCACGGTGCCAGGCTCTGCTCACCAGGAGGCCCTGAATTCCAGGTCCTGAAACTCTCATAGAAGTAAGCATTCCCAGGTGCTTCCCCGAGGGCTGGTCTCGCCCACAAACGCTTCCATTTCTAGGACCCCAGTGTCCCCAGACAGGCTCTTGCTGATTTTTTTCAACATCTTCTCATCTCTTGCCTCAGTTTACCCAAGAGCCCCAGGAAGGCAGGTCTGACTTGGCACATCACCCGCTCTCCCAGCAGTGAGAACACTCCCAACACCCACCACTGTGGAGCAGTCCCCGTGCCCCACCTGTCCTCCCATGCCCACCCCTCCCCAGGGAAGCAGGAGGACCCCCTTACACACAGAGGGAAACCAGGGCCAGGGCTCATCCACACGCTGGCGCATGAGAGCTGGGGTTTGGACCCGTTCTGCTTCCCATAGGGCCAGTGTCCGATGCCCCATGGGGCAAACAGGGGGCTCAGGGGGAAGGTTGGGTGGCTGGATGGTGAGTGATGTTTTTATAACCCACTAGTGACACCCACAGATCAGGTAACTTAGCCCACACCCCATCTGACTAAGGGGAAACTGGACCTGGGACTGAATGGCCGCTTGGGGTCAGTGGGGTGAACCACGTGGCCTGGCCTGCAGAGCCTGACGGCCTTTGCTACTTCCCTGGGTGCCGCCCGTGTCCAGGCTGGGTGCCAGTCTCTGGGGTGCTGGAGGTGAGGTCATGATGAGCCGGAGCACGCAGGGCCAGGCTGGGTGTCATCTCACCTCTGTGGCTGGCCGGGCCCCTCTGTGCCCCTTTGTCTACAGCGAGGGGTGCTTCCTCAGCATGCCCCTCTCTCCCCGCAGGGAGGTGGATGGCTCTCCCGGACTTCCCTGACTACCACAAGTGGGGCTTCTCCCTGGCAGCACTCAACAACGACGTCTATGTCACAGGTGGGCAGCCAGCTAGCCCCTTCCAGAGAGCCCTGCCCAGTGAGTGCCTGGCCTAGTACTGGCCCCAGATTAGCTCTCCCCTCTCACAGGGTCCCTCCAGGCCCGGCCAAGCTGTGAAAGCAAGGAGTTTGAGTCCAGGGGTGACCGGTAGGCGCTGGAGCCGGGCAGTGTTCACTGACTGCCCAGGGCCAACCTGCTGTGCTCCTGCAGCCAGCGTGTCCCCAGAAGGAGCTGGTGACAGGGTGGCCCCCTGTCCTTTCACATCTCAGGATTTGGGGTTCCTGATAGGATTTGGCTGGGGGAGAAATCTTCCCCTGTTGGGGGTTGGGAATCCTGATCTCCCCTTGTTGATGAGGAAGGAGGTCCACAACTCCATGCCACCCACAGTGCTGCCTGCAGCCCAGGACCTGGAGGCGCCACACACTCATGATCATGGCCTGGCACGGGGCAGGGGCATTTGTACCCAGTGGTTACCCATGTCACTAGTGGGACATTGGTACCCAGACCCCAGGGATCCAGAGGCCCCACACTGGTGGTACCTGTGTAGATAGAACCTCTCCTGGCAGGTGGCTCCCGGGGCTCCAAGACAGATACCTGGTCAACCACCCAGGCCTGGTGCTTCCCGCTGAAGGAGGCAGCCTGGAAGCCCGTGGCACCCATGCTGAAGGCCCGTACCAACCACGCCAGCGCCGCGCTCAACGGGGAGATCTACGCCATTGGCGGTGAGGCCTCCCTCCCCACTCCCCGCAGCCAGCCGCTGGAAGCCCCTCCTTCCTGCCCAGAGCTCGCCATCTGGGGGAGATCAGGGAAGTCCACACAGGGCTTCCAGCGGGTGGCTCTCAAAACCCATGCCCTGGGAGACCTCAGCAGCCAGCCCAGTGCTTCGGATGCCTTTGGGGACAGAGGAAGCAGGACGATGAGTCAGGAGGGGGCCGGCAGAAACTGAGGCCTTGATTTGCCAGCAGGGGTGACCAGGCCACCCCTGAAGCTTGGACTCAGCCTTTAGCTCAGGGTCACCGGGAAGTCTCAGAGTGAGGAACCCGCTGTGGCCCCTTTCTCATTGCCGTCAGGCCCACTGAGCCTCTAGCCTGAAACAGGACCAACTAGTCACGCAGGCACCCCAGTGCTAGAGCAAGCAGCCACCCCGGGAATTATCAATCCCAGTGTTGAACACGAAACGCATGCGACCCGCGAGCTCTGTAGGTAACCTGCCTGGCCCTACAGCCATTCCTAATGCCCACCTGTCCCCTGTTCTCTCAATGGCTGCTGTGTCCCTAGCCAGGAAGCAGAGAGACACATAACCCCCAGGGCATCTCCACCCCCAGGGTCACATGGTGGGGCACCGTGACACCCTGGGTGCCATCAAGACTGGGGCACTAGGAACGTGAGGCGCACCTCTTGCTCCACAGCCGGGCTCCCTTTCTTTATCACATCCAGACCCCACTGGGGACTGGGCACGGGCTGCCGATAGCTCCAGCGTCTTTCTTCTTGCAGTCCACCCTCTCAGGCCTGGCCGGGGACCCTTCAGGGTCTAAGTGACTGTCCATTCCCTGCCCGTTGTCGGTGGCAGGGCCTCGGGCAGGCAGCCCCAGCTCTCGGAGCCCCAGCCTCCCTGGATGTGGGAGGCTGGCTGCCTCTGGAGGCCACGCTCCCCACTTGCCCCCAACCCTGTGCAACCCTGAGAGCTCCAACCTGGGGTGCAGGCACTCCCTCTGGAGGCCCTGCAGCCTCCCCTCACGTGGCTGAGCTGCCCCACAGGCACTGCCCTGGGTGTGGTGGAGGTGGAGAGCTACGACCCCTACACGGACAGCTGGACGCCCGTCAGCCCGGCCCTCAAGTACGTCAGCAACTTCTGTGCGGCCGGCTGCCGGGGCCGGCTCTACCTGGTGGGCTCCAGCGCCTGCAAGTACAACGCGCTGGCCCTGCAGTGCTACAACCCCGTCACAGGTGGGCAGACATGGGACCCGCCGCGCCCTGCGGCCCCAGCAGGGGCGGGGACTACCAGCCCCCTCTGCAAGGCTCCCAACCCAGTCCCAGCACAGTGGGCCAAGGGTGGGGCCTCTAGGGCAGGTGGGGCCAAGAGGAGGGGAGAGGTGGCCTTGGACCTCTCATGAAGGGCCACGGCCCCTTTAGAGAGGGATGGGAAGGGCGGCGGGCAGTGCGGGGCCGGGTCGCCTCCCAGAGGGCAGAAGCCTGTCTGCGCTGCCCCAGCCCCTCGCCTGGTCCTGAAGCCTGCCTGCTTGCTTTGTGCACCTGGACTGGGCCTCACGGGCAGTGATCCTGGACCTCCGAGACCCAGTGAGTCTCAGCTGGGTATTCTCCAGCAGGGTGGCCTTCCCAGCCCTGGTCTCTGTCTCTTTATCCTCTGGACAGTGGAGATGAGAGGGACCATCTACCAGTGAGAGCCAGACTCCAGGTGGGGATGGGGCCCCTGGGGAGACCTGGGGGACAGGCCACTGCGAGCAGCATGGAGACAGGGAGGGTGGGGTGACCAGGCCGAAACCTCTCCTGAGGCGGAAAGGCCTCTGCAGTTCAGTGGGACTTGGCCTCGCAGGGCACGGGGACGGCCCCCTCCACAAGTGTCCAGTCTCAGTGAGGGTGCTCACGCTGTCCGCAGCAGAGAGCAGCAGGCTCCGAGCGGCGCCTGGCCTTGGCTGTGGACCGCGCCCGGCCCCTCTGGTGAAGGTGCCCGTTGCCTGCAGATGCGTGGAGTGTGATCGCCTCGCCCTTCCTGCCCAAGTACCTGTCCTCGCCCCGCTGTGCCGCGCTGCAGGGGGGGCTGTACCTCATCGGTGACAACACCAAGAAGGTCTACGTGTACGACCCGGGGGCCAACCTGTGGCAGAAGGTGGGCTCCCCGCCTCCCAGGCCCCTCCCCACCGATGGCCCTGCTGGACTCCTGGCCCGTGGGGCACAGAGAGGCCAACAGGGAAGTGAAGACAGGCTTCACTGTCCCCTGGATGCATCCCGCCACGCCAGCGCTGAGGTTACCACGGGCACCCTGTCCCTGGGGAGTGCCCCCAGGCTCAGGCAGTGGGAGTTTCAGAGGCAGCCACAGACTAAAAGGAAGCAGCTCCTCCCGCGGGAGTGAGCCTGGTTGGGCCAGGGAGCGGATTCCTGAGCTGCCCTCCTGTGGGCTCCCTAGATCCCCAGGCACCCCCACTCTGCCACTGGCCCAGGGGAGGATGGAAGGTGGTCATTCCAGAGGCCAGCCTGGGGCCACTGGAGCCCCGGTTTTCTCCTCATTGGAGGCCACGATGGGTCTCAGCCCGCGCTGGACACTGGGCCTGCCCTCCAGAGGCTGAACTGAGGCTTCCCTCCCGCAGGCGCCCTGGGAGGCTGCAGCCGCTGTCCTGGCAACAGTGGGCCTCTGCATTCCTGTTGCCTGCAGCTGTCCCTTGGTGTCAGCCCTCTGCTGACCTGAGGCCCCCACCAGAGTGGCAAAACAGGTGCAGGACAGGCCCTGCCAGGGGCACTGCTTCCTGGGCCCGTCCTGCACCAGGCCTCTCCCGCCATGCTCACGGGCCAGGCTGGGGTCCCACCACCCCGGCTCTCCCAGGAGTGCCCACAGTCTCTCAGGCTATGTCCTGAGAGAAAGCTACGTTCTTGTCCCTCAACCCCTCTCCAGGGCACTCCTGAGGCCGTATGCAGGGGCAAGGAGTGTGTGCAGGGGCAGGGGTCCTGGGGTGGCTCGCCCTCCGGGGTGTCTGCAGGTGAGCACACCTGCCCCTCGTGCCCTCCAGACAGCCACTGTGAATGGAGGCTCAGTCCAGCCTCACTGGAGGCCCCTGGGCTTAGGCCTCAGGGTCCCCTCAGCCCCTCTGACACCAGGAGAGGTCATCCTCTGGGGAATCGCAGGGGCTCCCCCAGAGGGAGTCTGAGGAAGCCTGAGGGGTCCTGGTGACCTCCCCAGGAAGCTGGTACAAACTGCCCTGCCACCCTCCCCCACCCCGCTGACCCTGGTGAGGACGCTGTTGGCCAGAAGCCTCTGGCCTGCTGGATGCTGACCACTGACCATCCACAGGTGCAGTCCCAACACAGCCTGCATGAGAATGGTGCGCTGGTGCCTCTGGGTGATGCCCTGTACGTGACAGGTGGCCGCTGGCAGGGCATGGATGGCGACTACCGTGTGGAGATGGAGGCCTACGACACGGTGCGGGACTCCTGGACGCGCCACGGGGCCCTGCCCCGCCTCTGGCTCTACCACAGTGCCTCCAGCATCTTCCTGGACGTCTCCAAGTGGACACGGCCCTTCAGCCCAGCCCAGGAGCACTAGGTGGGGAGCAGCTGGCGGGGCATCCCCATCAGGTCCTTGTCACCCTGTGGAATCCCCTGGGCTCTCACCAGTTCCACCAGAGCTGCTGTCTCCAGGGCTTTGGGCCACAGGGGACTTCAGAAGGCACACTGAGAGGACGTGGCCTGTGTCCACAGTTCTGGCAGCACGGCCTGATCTCCAGACACCTGTGTGGGAGGAGGGCTTTGCTGACCTGGGATGCCAACCTCAGAGGAAGGCACCGGGGAATCAGGACGCCCCAGAACTCAGGCCTCTCCTGGGTCAGCTCCTAGGGCCTCTGTGCCCCACCTGGGCCCTCGGGAAGTTGCCTAAATGAGGAATGAACGTGGGCACTGAAGCAGGGCCCTGGGATGGGTCAGCACCAGGCCCTCTCTGGCTTTCTCTGACCCACTGCTGTGTGACCACACCTGGCAGCCTGCTGGCTCTGGCCTTGGGCTCTGTGCTCACTGCAACAGGACCACAAGGTGGGCTTCGAGTCCCGCCCCCCCACAGTGGCACTGTGCTGAGAGCCACAGGAATGACGCATGGCATTTTTGCCAGAAGGAGTGGTTGAGAGGTGACGCCAGCGAGCCATTGAGATGATGATGGTTATGTTAAGCTGTGTATTCAATTGTACATTAGATCCCTGCTGTCCGCCTTGGGCGCCCCCTACTTTGGAGTTCTCGCGGGATTCCTGGAGAGTTCTCGTTGGTTGGGGAAGTTCCGGAGGAGGGATTTCCAGTTGGTGTGTGGTGTTCCTGGAAGCCCGCGAGGGAGTGCGGATAATAAAGGAGTTTCTGTTTTGAACCTACAAGTGCCTCGTGGCGGCTCGGTTATTTTGTGCCCAGCCAGACTGCGGCAACACTGTGTTTCCAAATTTGCTTCTGGGGACAAAGGAGGCCTTGCTCAACCCTTTCTGTGCCCCCTCCAGGATGCCCTAGGAAAGAAGGGGGTGGGGCATGAGGCACAGAAGGGTCTGAAGGTGGGCGGCTGGAGAGGGCGCTTGGGGACAGGATTGCCCTGCTTCTTGGGACAGTGTTCATCAAAGAAAAGGCTCTGGAATGAAATTACCCACAGGGTGGGACCCACTGGAGTCTGTAGGGACTTTTGTGGCTCTGGGGTCTGAAGGGGGTCTTGCTTCCAGAACCCTCCTGAGAGAGGAAGCTCGGGGACATTGATGGCCTCCTGCTGGCTCAGGCCTGCCCCAGGGCCCTTGAGTATCACTGGGGCCCATGCAGGGTTGGCTCAGCCTCCTGCATGCTCCTCTCTCTCTCTCTCTCTCTCTCTCTCTCTCTCTCTCTCTCTTGTCCTGAATCAGGCACCATGTTTGTAACCAAGGACATATTTAAGGACTCTCACTGGGTCTGAGTGCCACACCCCCTCTGTCACAGGCTCCATCAGAAGATGAGCTGCAAGTTAGGAGTCAGCCCTAGCACTGGCCCTGCCCTGACCCTCCAAGGCCCCAGGTCCAGCCCATGGCACCTGGGCTTTTACCCCTGGGTTCTAGTTCATGTCAGGGTCCACTCTGCTCCCAGGCCTGACTTCCATGCCAGTTTTCTAGGGAGAACTGAGCTGACCTTGGGCCCAGGTAGAGCAGGTCCTCCAAGAAAAAGAGCCAGGGCCTGAGGGACCCAACTGCCTGATGGACAGGGTGAAAACAGGGCAAGGGTCTCTGGGACCCTTGACTCTTGCTGCACAGAAGTTTCCAGGAACCCTTTCTAGGCTGTTTAAAAACCGCGCCTTGAAGAGTGAGACCGACTTACGCTGGCGGGAAAGGTGGGGCGCTGGCCACAGCATGCATGGGAATGGGGGCCGTTCTGGGGTGGGGCACATGCCAACCGGTGCCCGACCTGCAGCTTCAAACCACACCTTGGCTGGTCCACGGAGCTGCCCAGTTCAGGACACACGCCGTGGTTGTGCGGGGAGGGCAGTGCCCTGAGGGAGGACGTGGAAGAACAGGTGCTTCTCACTCTCCTGTCTCCTCCTGTGAGTGCCGCACACCAGCCAAACCAACCAGAATCCAGAACAGAAGGAAGAGAGGCTGTGGCACCGTCCACAGGCCACTCTGGTGCGGAGCAGGTGGGGAAGGGGACAGGCCACTGGGATGGCACACAGGGACTCTCGGGCCTGTGACTCAAACCCTGGGTGATGGTGCTCATTCACACAGGACAGGGATGACCATGGGCAGCCTGGATATCCTCTTCTGTTACTGAAGACCTCAGGAACACAGGACTCAGAAGGATTGGGGCTCATGCGGGCTTCTAGAAGGGACAGGGGGCACTCCAGAACATGTGCCAGCCAAGCACCACCCCCTACCCTGCTCTCAAGCTCCCCTCCCAACCATGGAGTGGGCGTCTGCCAAGCGGGTGCAGCATGTCCTCCGGCTGATGGTGCTGGGGGAAGAGAACCCCTGCAGCCGCCCAGCCCCCAGGGTGTCCATAGAGCCTCAGCAGCCAGGCCCCGCACCACGAGTCAGGGCCCAGGGCGCTGCAGCCATTGCCACTGGGCTGGGGTCTGCCCGCACCGCCCTGCGTCACCCAGCCTCTTCATGGAGCCAGCTGCAGGCACCTCATGGAAGGAGCCACAGGGACAGGCAGCCTGGAGGGCCTCTGTGGTCAGTGACCCCCACTCCTCGGCCCGTTAGGCGGAGCCTTCACCTTCACTCTGTCAGGAACTGAGGGGAGCGAGGACACAAACCCGCACAAGGGCCTGCGTATGGTCCCTGTTATGGTCTGGATGCGAGGTGTCCCCCAAAGGCTCCCGAGTGAGACAGTGTGAGGGTTCCGAGGGGAAGTGACTGAGAGCCTTAGCCCAGCCGGAGAACTGATCCCTGCGGGCACTGTCTGGGGTGCCTGAGGAGGTGGGCACTGGGGCGTGGCTGGGCATGAGGTCTGCATCTGGACAGTGGAGCTTGCTCTCTCTTCCTGACCATCCTGTGAGCGCTTCTCTCCGCCACTCTTCCGCCATCGTGTTCTGCTCCCCTTGAGCCCTGAGGAATGGAGCCTGCTCAAACCCTGCGCTCCTCCCCTAAGACCGTTCTGCTCAGATCTTCTAGTCACAGCAGCGAAAACGCTGATGAAAACAGTCCCTGCTCCCAATGTGGCACCAGATGCCCAGCCTCCGGAGGGCCTGCGGTGGAGGTGAGCCACTCCTCGTCCCCAACCACCAGTAAAGGGGTCTTCCTGAAGGAAGGGTTCCTACCCGGAGGCAACGTGGCCTCCCAGGGCCCACAGAGTGCTCGGGGACTGCCAGGCTCACGGGTGAGGGTCGTTTCCATCACAATCACATTTAAGAATGGGAAACTTTTGGGGCTGGGGCTGGGGCTCAGTGGTAAAGCACTTGCCTAGCATGCATGAGGCACTGGGTTCAGTTCCTGGCACCACAGTAAAATATGAACAAAATGAATAAAGGTGTTGTGTTCATCATCATCATCAACAACAAAGTGACCCTTCCCAGCTACTTGTGAGGCTGAGGCAGGAGGATCCCAAGTTTGAGGTAAGCCTGGGCAACTTCTAAGACCCTGTTTCAAAATAACAAATAGAAGGGCTGGGAACGTAGCTCAGCGGTAACGTGCTCCTGGGTTCCGTCCCCAGTGCTGGTTAATTGATAGATATCAATCCTGACCAGAATGCCAACAGGACCAGTATCTACCCTTTTGCATTATACTGTGAGCTAAAAGCTAATTCTTTAAGTTTTTAATCTATTGAAAACATGGAGGCCATTAGCAGATTATAACCCAAGAGGCCCCAGGGAGGAAGAACTCTTCCCTTGACCTGCCACAGCCTAGCCCCTGCCCAGACGCGCAAGGTTCCACCCCCACCTTGTGCCCAAAACTTGAGCAGGAACAGAGGGAACAATTCATGAATTGAATTCAGTCTGTGAGTCCGTCACAGCTGCTGGCCACAGGCCGTGGGGGCTGGACCTGGACACCATGTTGTTTGGTGACTTCATGACCTTGAGCCAAGATCCTGGGGTCCCAGGATCTGAGCCCGAGTTTCCTCATCCATGTGACGGGATGATCTTGGGATTCAAGCATTGGTGGCCCCATGTGCACGCTGATGGGGGGGTGGCGGGGGCCACACAACAAGTTGACTGCAGACTCCCACTGTTTTCGGGGCAAAGGGAGCTTTTATTCCCATGACCTCATCGGCCAAGGGCCTTCCTTTGGAGAAAGAGAGGGGAGTGGGAATCACTTGGCTGCCTTAGGCTGCCGGGCAGCCAGGCTGAGGCCAGGGCGCCAGGGCCCGAGAGGGAGGGTGAGGTTCCGGCCAGGCGTGCAGGCTGGGGGGCCACCCCCTGCTCTGCAGGCCCATCCTGTGGCCACTCATTCAACTTAGGACTTCCACCCCAGGGGCCACCCCCACCTCTGAACCAGGGCCGCGCCTATGGGGTGGGCAGCAGGAGCGACCTTGCCTACCGCCTTCTCTGAGGGCAAGCTGCCATGAGGTGGGAGCCCAGGCCCAGGCCAGGCCCGTCACACGCCCAGGCTGGTGTTCCAGCAGGCCATCCCAGCACCATGACCGATGGGACTTGGGCCCTCTGGCAGAGCCCATGACATCACTAGGATTTTTCCCTGTTTGGGAAAATAACGGTTTTTTTCACAGGGCAATGGCTCTTGTCCCCAGTGCTGGCTCTTGTGCCCTCGGGCTCCACACTCTGAAAGGGAAAGAAGTCACCAAGCAGCTGAAGAGCCATGCTTCCCCTCTTCCCACGGAGCCCTTGTGCTGCCCAAGGGGACAGAGCTGGGAGCAGGTTGAGTCAAACCACCCACCTTGGGCCACTACGGGGAAGGCCCTGCAGGAAGTGCGCACGGGGGCGGGGAGGCACAGGGAGAAGACAGGGCCACCGGCCTCCGCAGCCCCAAACACACCGCAGGAGAACTCAGCGTCCCACAACTGGAGGAGGAAGACCCCCAAAGGGCTGTGAAGAACTGACCACACCCACTGGGGAAGTAGGCCTGCCCCCCACGGAAACCCAGCACTGCCTCCGCGCTGTGCATCCCTGGGCAAGCCGGCCACCTCTCTGGACTAGTCCATGAGCCGGGAAAAACTTTTCAGAAACAAGAAGGTACCTGCCCGCACAGAGCTGCACCCCCAGGCGGGGCCCTGCACAGCAGATTGCAGGTTCTGACAGGAACCCCTGGGGTCCTGGGGTCTGCAGGCTCCCTGAACAAGGGAACAGAACCAGCTTGACTTGCTTCACAGTGGGGCGCAGGCCCCAGCACCCCCGGACCTGCTCTGCAGAGTTCCACTGGCCAGGCTGCCAGCCGTCATGTCCCACCCCCAGCAGAAGTGCACACCTGCCAGGCAGTGCCCCATGCTCCGAGGGCACACAGCAGCACCCTCCGTCCCATGTGTGGATTTGGGAGCCAATGTCCTCATTGTGATTGATCTACCACAGTCTCCAGATAAAATAAATTCAGGCATTTTGCTGAGCACACGTTCATAGGTCAATGCTTCTCAGATGTGTTCTTAGAGATCTGTAGTTTCCACAGGAATTAATATTTTTTCATTCCATGGTAACATTTAAAGAAATTGGGTGTCAGTGTTAAAGGCAGAGCTTCCCTGTGTTCAGTCCTAACCTGCCAGGGACCTGAGACCCTCATGCTCAGGGCAGGCAGGGTGTTTTCTTGGAGCATTTCCCCAGGGAAGAGAGGCAGAATTCTTTTGGATGATTTACAACTAAAAGCGCCTCTTTTTGTGGGCTGGGGTTGTGGCTCAGTGGCAGAGCAGTTGCCTCAAACATGTGAGGCACTGAGTTCCATCCTCAGCACCACTCAAAAATATAAATAAGCAAAACAAAGATATCGTGTCCATCTATAACTAAAACAAAAACAACAACAACAACAAAATAATTTTTTAAGTGCCTTTTCTCACTCAGGGCAGTGTTTCCTGTTTGTCATCTCCTGGCACTAAGCCAGCCAGGTGGAATGTGGCGGGAGGGGCCCTTCCCCTTCCTGGTTCTCCGCATCCCGCGGTCCCGCGGTCCCTGGTCCACGCTCCCGCCATCCCTGGGGTGGATGGCGGAGGGAGCATGCCAGCTGTGCCGCCCCGACGATATCGAAAAGCGCCGTGTGCCCGCCAGGCGCACAGAGATCCAGGTGTGCGCTCTCCCCTCCTTTACGCCAGCCAAATAGGTCTGAAGGTAACCATCCCGAGGCCCGCAGGGCTGCTCCACCTGTCGGGGTGCGGTGCCCTGCGCTGACCCTGGGGGCTGATGGACAGAGGGCAGCTTGGTCCGGTCCGCCCCCAACACTGTCCATAGCAGCATAATATGGGGTCATTCCTCCCAGCCTGGGTCCCCACTAGTTCTGGGCAGCTGCCCGCTTGGCAGACTGGCCCCATGACCCTGGGCCTCCGGGTGCATCCGACGTGGGCACCACCGGAATTCAGGGCGCCCCGGATCTGGGAGGCGTCCTGGAGGGAGGGGCTCCCGACTGGGAAAAGGGGCCCAAGAGTCCACTTCGACGTGCTCAGCTGGGGTCTCCGAGGCCTAAGGGTGGGGGCGAGCAGAGGGACCGGACCGGGGCGGGAGCAGGGGCGGGGCGGGGCGGGCAGCGGCGGGGCTCGCGCGTTATAAGGCGCGGCCCAGGCCCGGCCCCGCGACGCCGCTCCGGAGCCGCCCTCCGCTCGCCGCGCGCATGGCCCCGTCCGGCCGCCCCGCCGGAGCGCGCCTGCTGCTCGTGTGCGCTGGCCTGCTGACCACCGCCGCCGGCCTCGGCAACCCGGAGCCCGGCGCGCCCGCAGGGAGCCCCGCGCGCCCGCCGCCCGGGGCCGCGCCGTCCGCCCGCCCGGTAAGACGCGCCAGCCCGGGCGGGGACGGGGCACGTCGGGCAGGCGCGCTCCGCACAGCCGCTGCCGCCCGCAGCCCCGACCTCGGTGTCGGGGGTTCTCCTAGTTAGGGCTGGGGTGTGGCTCGGTGGCAGAGCTCTGGCCCGGGGTTCCACCTGCACCACCGCCACCACCACCCCAAAGAAACGACCCACCAGCCACCAGGCGGGGAGGGAAGTGGGAGAGACCGTGCCCAGCGCTGCGGGCCAGTGACTAGCTTCTGGTGAAAGTGGGAAGAAAATCATTTTGAAAAGGGGTGAGCAATGACAGGAGTGCTTCCCCGCCGCTCTGAGGAAGGGACAGCAGGGTTGGGGGCCCAGAATGATCTCCTTCGTGCCTATGTTGCCTTTTGTCCATGACTTCTGGCCCGTTAGGGGCGATTGGAAGCCCTGCCCTGCTCCTTTCTCCCGGCTTTAGGGCTTGAAATGCTGGGGTGGTGAGCCGATGGGGGAGGGCGTGGCCATAGGCCTGGAAGGGAGGGTTGATGGCCCTTCACTGGTGTCCTCTGGGTGGATGGGGCCTTCCATTCAGGGCAGTGAGGGCACCCAGGGTCTCTGGACTGAAGGTGCTGTGGGCCTCACACAGGGAAGCCTCAGGCCAGATCCTCTGTCCTAAGTATCCACTTAGGACTATGCTTAGCCAAGAAGGGGTCAACTAAGGAAGGTTGGAGACTGCAGCCAGCTCTGGGGGGTCCCTCTGCAGGTACCTCTGCGGAGCCCTTCATCCCGGAATAAAGCCACATATGCTTAGGCATGGGCCAAGAACTCAAAGGGCCAGGCAGACAGATTCAGGGTCACTGGGAGGCAGAGAGAGGCTCAGGGCTTCTAAGTGGGATTTTGACCTTGGATCTCTGGAGGGTCTAGGTGTCAGCAGACCACCCTCCTCTCTTGCCCTGCTGAGGTTCCAAGGCTTCTTTCTGAGCAAGTCCTTACGGCTGGAGACCTTGGCCGGTCGGGGCAGCTGCCCAGCCCACACCAACACTGCTGCAGACCCAAATCCTTGGGCCCCAGACTACACACTGCAGCCCTTCCTCCAAACCAGCACAAGTCTAGTCTATCCACAGGCCACTGGCCCAGCAGGGAGGGTAAGCCCAACATCCCCCCTGGCCTGTGTGGGAAATCCTTGTGCCACTCAGGATACCATGAGGCTATGCAGAAGAATCACCAGCAACCATCAGCCCTGTAAGATGTGGGTGTCCTCTGTAAGCCCTGTAAGGTGGGGGTGCAGAGGGAGGCCCTCTGAGGACTGTCTGTCCACCTGACTTTCTTCCAACACCGAGCCTCTATCTTCTCAGCACAGCAGCCTGGCCTGTGGGTGGTTGGCAAGCTCCCAGAGGAAGGCCCTGAGTCCCTGCAGAGCATTGGGAACCCATAAGGCCGGGACTTGGTGGCTGGGTCTGTCCTTGACAAAAGGGCCTGGCCAACTCCGACACCTGGGGTCTTGTCACCAACCACTGGAGCCCCATGACCTCATCTGAGCCTTCTTGGGCCATTTCCTTCCCAGCTGGCATCCCTGCCTGGAACCCAGCAGGCCAGAGGCCTTTCCCAGGAAGCAGGTTGCACCAGAGCTTTGCTCCACATTGAGACTTGTCAGATGCTGCACTTGCAGGAATGGACATTTCTGGAAGTGCCATGTCCTTGCTTGGGTCAGGGGCAGATAGGATAGCCCCTGCCCCTGTGCCTCATGCCCGGCAGCAGCCCTGGTGGCATTGCTTTGCTGGAACTTGTGCCAGTGGAGGAGAGATAGCAGGGTCTGTGGCAGTCGAGGTCTCATGATCAGCTGCCTCTTCCTGAGCACCAGTGGGTGCTGGTGCTGTGATCCTCCTGGTGACTGTCAAGAGGACAGTATGACTGTCCCAGTGCATCCTGAGGAAGCCCTGGACAGGCTGGGCAGCCTGCAGTGCTGATGCACATGTGCAGCAGACCCTGTGCCCCACCTTCCTCTATCCGCAGCAGGGCCTGCTTCTCGCACCGGTGCAGTCTGGGCTGTGGTGTGACATGTTCCCCAGGAGTTGTCCTCCATGGGCCAGAAGGAGAGGGGCAGGGGCTGTGCTGCATTTGAGAGCACATGTACAGGGCCAGGGTGCTAAAGGAAGTGCTGCACATGGTCACACCTGTAAGGCACGCCCGAGCAGGCACCAGGTGAGGGGGACCAACCTGCCGGGCTGGCTGTGTTCCAGGAGCCCACCACGGAGCCAGCGCACAGTGTCGACCCCAGGGATGCCTGGATGCTCTTTGTCAGGCAGAGTGACAAGGGTATCAATGGTAAGAGGAGGAGCAAGGGCAAGGCCAGGAGGCCAAAGGTGAGTAGCCTGGACCCCTTGCCTCTGGTGTACGCACTCAGCTCTGAGACCTCACACCTGGGGCAGGGGTGCAGAGGAACTGGCCAGGCCCGGGAGCCCTGAGTTAGGGCCTGGTCCTCACCACTCACCCACACCCTTGGTGTGCCAGGCCCTCTTCTCTCCCCTCTGTGTCCTGGAGAGGGGCCTTGCCCAACTGTGTGGAGCGTGCTGGAGAGGCCTCTGCTGGGCCCTGCCCTCACTCAGCCCTGGGCCTGGCCTAGGCTGGGACTCGGTGCTTGGCTTAGTGGCTAAATCCTGCTTTGAGCCCCAGTGAGGGCTGTGTCCTCTGAGACAGGAGCTTCGGGACAGGGCTGTGCTGCCCATACTGAGCGTTGGGCTTCTCTATCCATGGAGAGCCAGTCTCACTGTTCCAAGTGTGGAATGCCAGCTCTGAGCCTGGTGTGCAGAGAGGTGCTGCGCTGTTACTGTGGCTCGCCCACCCGCTCTCCTTCTGAACCACCTGACCCTGCCCCAAGCTGCTCCATGCAGCAAACTTCCTCCCTTCTGTGTTGGGTCCTGACCCAGGCCAGTGTGGGCTCCTGGAAGGCCCTGGACACTAGTACTAGCCAGATGCATACTAATGTCTTGACTGACTTGAGGTGCAAGTCCCTAGAAGCTGCCTGTAGTCCCCCTCCCTCCAGGAACACCAGGGAGGGGTAGGCCACAGCCGGCCACAGGCCTACCCACAGCCAGTCCCACATTCCTGTCCAAACCCAGCCTTGAAGTTGCCCAGGGCCAATAGCTTTCACTGACTGCAAGGGGTTGAGATCCCACGGCTCACCTGGGAGGTCAGAGCCCATAGCTACTGGGTGCTCTCCTGCCTGTGTGTGGCAGGAGCTGGCAGAGGGAATGCCCCTGGCACCCAGCTGCCTCTTCATATGTCCTCACAGCCAAGGTTCCCTTCCAGCTTGGCCTGCCAGGGCCCCCGGGACCACCTGGCCCCCAGGGCCCCCCAGGGCCCCTCATCCTACCCGAGACACTGCTGAAGGAGTTCCAGCTGCTGCTGAAAGGTAGGGTTACCACCCTGGCTATCTTGTGCACCAGGGTTTGGGCATCCATGTTTGGGCAGAACTTAGCAACTCAGTTCCTGAGGTGGCACCTGACTGGCCCAGCCTAGGTATGCCAAAGGTAGGGTCTGGGGGTGGGGGCATGGTGAGGAAAAGGCTTCACAGAGGAAGAGAGGCATACCACCAAGTGCTCTAGCTGGGAGTCCAGAGTCCTGCCCCGGGGTTGTGGGCTGCAGCCAGCCTGGCCATATCACTTACCGGCTCTGGATGTGTTATGATGAACTGGGCCATTTCAGACCCCTCCTGTTCAGAGTGCTGGTTTTATGTTTTTGTACCAGGGATTGTACTCAGGACCGCTGGACCACTGAGCCACATCCCAGCCCTATTTTGTATTTTACTTAGAGACAGGGTCTCACTGAGTTGCTAAGTATCTTGCCGTTGCTGAGGCTGGCTTTGAACTTGCCATTCTCCTGTCTCAGCCTCTGGAGACGCTGGGATATCAGGCGTGAGCCACTGCACCTGGCTGTGCTGTTTGTTTTTAATACCACCTCGGTGGCTAGAGAACTCTGCGTGATTGCCAATATAGCTGCAGTAGTAACTTACACGCATCTGCTTTCCAAAAGAGGCCTGGCTGGGGGAAAGGGTGCTGGTGTAGGACACACCTGCCCCAGAGAGGGGGCTGTATCCCCTGTGACCAGGAGCTGGAGGGAAACTGCAGCTGCAGAATGGGAAGCCAAGACTCCCCAGGCCTTGCAGTCGAGTAGGGAACTCCAACCTTTGGGGTGGGCAGGTGAGGCAGCCCCCCATGAGCCCACCTCACTCTGTGCCAGGCGCAGTGCAGCAGCGTGAGTGCACGAAGCCTGAGCCCTGCATTCGGTGTTCGGCTGAAACCACGGGCTCAAGCCCCGCCCCGGGCTCCATTGAGGATGAGGCAGCGGCCGGGGACATGCTGGCGCTGCTGGCTGCGCCCCTGGTTCCAGGCCCACTGGCTAGGCGTGTGGAGGCGGCCTTCCTCTGTCGCCTGCGCAGGGACGCACCTGTGGAGCGCCGCACACTGCACGAGCTCGGCATCTACTACGTGGTGAGTCAGGTGCGTGGGCCCAGTGGGTACACAGGACCAAGCACCTGGGATGACCGGCCTTGCACCCCACAGCCTGACTCCGAGGGTGCCTTCCGCCGCGGCCTGGGCCTGAACCTGACCAGCGGCCAATACACAGCGCCTGTGGCTGGCTTCTACCTTCTGGCTGCCACGCTGCACGTGGGTGAGGCCCGGGGCGTGGGGGGCCGCCCACCGCCCTGGCTCCTGCCGCTGTCACGTGACCACCACCTGTCCTCCCCGCAGCACTCGCCGAGCAGCCAAGGCACGGGCCTCTGCGCCCCGGGGACCGCTTGCGCCTGCTCATCTGCATCCAGTCTCGCTGCCAGCACAACGTGTGAGTGGGCCCTGCCCAAGCTCTGGGCGCACACTTGGCCTCCCCAGCCCACCTGGCGGCCCCCTACCTCCGTGCCCACTGCCACTCTATCCTGCCCACTTCAGGGTACACCCGGGAGACCTGGTCCTTCCCAGCCTCTGCCTCCTTGAGCCCCCTAACAGGGAACTCTCATCCAGGGGCCAGAGGGAGGCAATAGCGCCACCTCCTGAGTGGCATTTCCTGGCCACCCCTACCCTGTGAACTTTCTTTCCCATGATGACATCCATTCCTTATGGCTAGTGTCCCCATCTGTACTGCATCTGGACCATGAGGGCAGCCTCTACCAGCTCCCTGTCTCCCTGGCACCCGGACTAAGCCCAGGCACACCACAGGTGCTCTGCATGTGGGGAGGAGAAGGTGCAGATGAACAGGTGACACTGAGAAGGAATGGCTCTGGGAACCCTGGAGTGACTGGCCTGACCTGGCTGTGTATCACCTCTGCCACACTCCCACCTCCATCTGCACCAGCAGTGTCCTGTCTGTCCTCAGAGCCAGGCCTCTGCTGCCCTTGCTCAGCCCAGCCCAGCCATGCCCTTGGTGGGTGTGCATGTGGCGCTGGCTTTCCCCCCGCCCCGAGACCCCTTCAGAACCTGCCCACCGTGAACAGGCCAGGACCAAGCACTTTGCTGGGAATGGTGACAGTTGCTGGGTGACTGTGTCCTGTGGGGACACTGGGGCCTGGAGCAGGCTGTCTGTCTGTCTTGGCCACAGCTCCCTGGAGGCTGTCGTGGGCCTGGAGAGCAGCAGTGAGCTTCTCACCATCTCAGTGAACGGGGTCCTGTATCTGCAGGTGCGTGGGGCCAGCTGGTCTGTGGGGAGCGCTGCCTGGGCTGGAGCCATAGGTGAGGGGTCCCGTACTGAGGTGGGTAGGTACTCCCAGCCACCTAGGCCCTCTGTGGGGCCTGGTGAAGCGTGAGCCTGGCGCTTCATGACACCTGGCCCACTGCCACAGCAGAAGCCTGTGATGTGGCCGTTTTCTCCAGAAAACCCCGAGTCCTGAGGGGATCTGCCAAGTGGTAGGGATCTATGGTGAAGGTGGATTCATTCAAAAGGAGGTGGTGTGTGGAGTGACAGCGCTGGTGGTCCTCAGCGCTCTGAGTGCCACGGTGCTGCCGACAGCGCCAGGCCAGGCCTGAGACCAGCCCTGCATCACACAAGCCTGTCAGACTCTTGATCCCACTCTGGCCTGGGCGGGGGCTGGCTCCCATATTCCTGAACTGTAGGACACTGGGGAGAGCTCTAGACTAGGTGCCAGAGGTGCTGGGTTCAAGTCCAAGGCCTACAAATGCTTGCTCTGTGCCTGGGCCCTCTTGCTGCCCAGGCAGAGTGGGCAGGGGCAAGGGCATTGGCCCCAGACATCCTGCAGGCTGTCCTGGCCTCAACCTGACCGGCACCCTTCCTGCAGATGGGGCAGTATGCTTCTGTCTTCCTGGACAACGCCAGCGGCTCCTCCCTCACGGTGCGGGGTGGCTCCCACTTCAGTGCTGTCCTCCTGGGTGTGTGAATGGCCACAGGCCCTGCTCTCACCAGGCAACATCTAGACAATTGGAAGGACAGCCACCCAGGTAAAAGGAAGCCCACCTGGAACTCTGCCCACACTGGTCACTGCAGTTGGGCCCAGAGCTGGCCACTACAGGTGGCCCTACAGAGGTGACACACACCAGTGGTTCCAGGACCAGCAGTGATGTTTTGAAAGTGGAAGATCCCTCTGGGCTTCACCTTGGAACCGTCCAGCATGCCCAGTGGCACTGTGTCCTCGGCTGCGAGCTAGCTCCCACATGGCCCCACACAGCTCAGCTTTCCTGGGGCCCATCTTTTTTGGCCTTCTCATGGGCTACAGAGAGCCCTCTGCACAGGGCTGATGGGCACCACCGAGAAGTCAACCACACGTCCTCACTGCATACTGGGGAGCCAGGCTGTCTGGGGCAGCGGCCTTGCCCACCACTCACCTGCTGACTTGGGCTTCCAAGCCTCTGTGCCTCTCCCCAGCCTTGCTTCTACCTGCCGTGAGCTTCAGGGACCTGCTTGGCCCCCAGTGACCACTGAACTCAAGACCTGATGTGGACTCTTGGCACAACTGCTTCAGGAACCAGAGGACGGCTGGACAGGGAATTCCTTCTGGAGGACAGCAGCTCCCAGAGGCCTGGCTCCCAGCAGCTGTTTCCCTGCCATGTGTGCCAAGCTCAACTCCCAAGTCCTCCTCGCAGGTGCCTCGGCAAATGAAACCACACTCCCCCCAGTGACCCTTCAGACAAGGCCTCCTGGGCCCACTCCAGAGGCCAGCTGGTCAATAAGACCCTTTCCCATCCCCTACCAGTTGACAGATGGGAGACAGCCTGCCAGCCCAGGCAGCCAAAGCAATGGTACAGGTGAACTGACCACTATGGGCCCCATGGGCAGGCCTGGTCTGATTCTCGGTAGGACTTGTATCCACCCTACCAAGAAGCACCAGGCTGGCCTGGGTCCCAACTCCCGTGTACTTTGATAAGGGGGTGATGTGGCCACACCCATCCTGGATTTCAGTTTGTTAACACAGTTATCTTTTCCCTTGAAAGAGCTGCACACGCACATATTTGCCCAATGTAAGCATGTTACATAGTATAATGTTGCCAGGAAGGAGATATTTATATAACTGACATGTGTTACTGTGTGATGTGACCACACAAAGCTATTTTAAAAAAAGGGGGTGGATCTGAGAGTCAGAATCTTGACCCTTTAGCCCTAACCACCAGGAGCGCTGAACACCAAGGAGATGCAGGTAGTCCCCAGCTGCAGGGTGGGAGGGGACTCCCCCTGCATGGGCAGGGGGGACCTTGCCAAGGATGCCAGGGCCAAGCCTCACCCAGAAGGGAATGGGCACTTAAGAGAGACACAAACCACAGCCTTCAAGACACAGAATGACACCTGGTTCGCTGTAGGAAGACATCTACCAAATAAACTGACAGACTCGAAGGAGTCTGTTCTGTTCTGGAGTTCTGTTCTTCCTGGATGCCACAATCCAGTGTCCCAGTCCCCAAGCAGAAATGGATACCTACCTTTTGACACTGTGGGGAGGGGTGGCTCCGTCAGCTCTTTGTTCTATTTATGGTCTTCCCACGGCAGACCCCAGGTTTACATGAAAGGTTCACACTGAAGAGCCAGCTCACCACCAGGACTGATGGCTGATAAGCCGTGTGCAGTGGGTGGGGCCAGCGAGTACCACAGACCATGCAAACCATCCTAGGCCCAACACACAGAGGAGCCAAGAGCTGCTTTTAAAAAATGACAGTTCTGGGGACTGGGGTTGTGGCTCAGCGGTAGAGCCCTTGCCTAGCATGGGCGGGACCCGGGTTCAATCCTCAGCACCACATAAAAATAAAATGCATTGTGTTGTGTCCATCTACACCAAAAAATACATATTAAAAAAATAAAAAATGACAGTTCTGTGTGAGCACAGGCTGACATTTGACCCATCCCTCACCTTACACAGCAGGGCCCTCTGGGCTGATATTTTGAGGGTCCACCTTGGCTACAAACAGACCTGCCAGGGGCCTGCCAAAGTCGTATTGGATGGCACATGATGAGCCATGCCCTTTGAAGACCCAGGGGAGCCAGACTAAGACCTGCTAAGCCAGCATTCCAGAACCCTTCAGCCAGATTGCAGTGCACAGGAGATGGAATGGGCCAAACTGTTGCCGGGGCCTGGCAGGGCAGGCCCCTGAGGGAGAGCCTGGTATATGGGCCTAGCTCTGGCCAAGCCCTGGGCTCCTGTAACAATTTTTAACGCTATTTCTGTACAGAAAATTGAATGGAGCCACAGGATTCCAAAAGCCTGGTTCTGACCTAGCCTCATCCCTAACCAGTACAACTGGCCCTGTGGAGGTCATCACGAGGCTGAAAGAGCATGTGGTCTTGGAGAGCTAGCCTACGATGCCCACAGTGGTCCTACCAGGAAAAGATGCAGAGTGCACACCGGGGCAAGCACACGCAGCCTGATGGGTAATATGAGGACTCAAAAGACTAGGAAAAAAAAAAGAAACCTTTATTTACAACCATGGAGCCCCACAGGAGTACACAAAACACAGAGTGTGCACACGTGAATGAACCTGCAAGCCAACACCTGCGGGTAGCGCCTCATTGACCTATCCGCACCACCATCACTGTGACGTTGTCCGCCGAGCCCCGCTGCACCGCCTTGTTGGCTAGCCTGTTACAGGCAGCTTCGTAGCGGGCATCTATAGCGGGCTTCCCTTCCCGGGTCTGGATCTTCTCATCCTACCAGATGAGAAAGGGGCCTGAGTGAGCAGGGGCTCTGTCTGCTCCCTGTCATCCTCCTGAGACTGCTCTGTGCCTATCAGGGTGCAGGGCAAAGTGACCAGTGAGTCCCCCAGGCAGAGCTCATGTTGAATAAGGAATACAAGGGCTGCCCCTGACACTGACGTAGGGCCTTGGGACTTCCACTTCTCTAGAAATGGAGGTGCAGCTGGGACAACTGGCACACCCTTGTGAAATTGCTCACCTCCAGGCAGGACAAGATGAAGTTCACGGCTTCTTCTGGGGTAAAGACCTTGAAGAGCCCATCACAGGCCAGTAAAATGAACCTACAACACCAGGAAGAAACATAAATGGGTTTTAGCAGCCAACTACTTACAAACAATTGGAGGTGGACTTGGTACATCAAGAGTGGAGCTGCCGTTCTCTGTCCATGACCGACACCCTGATGCTAGGTGCCGCTCTTCTGTAGAAGCACTGTCACCTGCAGCACCAGGTACGAGGTGTACACACTGGGATTAACCAAGTATGTGAAGCCAAGCGTGAGCTCAGACCTGAGGGATATCCTGGGTGTAACCTTCACACTAGAAGGCCCAAGATCTCAAAGAGGGCCACCCCACTGTTTTGGTTTGAAAGCAGCACACTCTCCCTTTCAGGACCCCTTCCTCAAGAGCAGTCTCTGAGCTCCCCTGGGCTCAGCAAGGCAGCGCTCACTCTCCTGGCACTGCTTGGGTCGCCACCTTGCTCTGCTGCTGCACTGTCCAGTCTGTTTTCCTCTTCTGACTGGACATTCACATATCCAGTATTTTCTGAGCTCCTGGTCTGTGCTAGGGACACCTTCCAGTGTCCTGAGAGTCAGACCTGGAACCATCACCCATGCACACCCATGATAAAGGGAAGCTGCGACAGCAACGCAGGGCTGGGGAGGCAGACGGGCCTGGCCTAGTCTGAGGCAGAGAGGGGGCTGCTGGAAACACACCCCAAGGCCTAGGGTGGTCACAGCATGGCACACAAAGGCAGGCGTGGGCAACGGGAGAGGCTGTGAGGAGAGTGAGGCAGCGTGTGCTCTTCCTCTGCAGCCCTGAGGTGGGACCCAGGCTGTGCCTACGAAGACTGTTGGGTTGCAGTGGCCCCCCTCCCTAGGGTCACGCTTGTGGGCTCAGTCTGTGGGTCCCATTTTCCTGTGCTCCTCTCCATTCCTTCCTGCGGACATACTGCAGCCTCTCCATCATGCCAGGCTCCTTGGCTCTGGAATCCATTCCCCGCCCCGAACCTTTTTTTTTTTTTACTTAAAATTTATTTATTGTAATTTGTTATACATGACCGCAGAATGCATTACAATTCTTATTACACATACAGAGCACAATTTTCACTTCTCTGGTTGTACACAAAGTAGAGTCATACCATTCGTGTCTTCATACATGCACTTAGGTAATGATGACCATCTCATTCCACCCTCTTTCCTACCCCCTTGACAACTACTTGAGAGGTTTCCTCAGGGGCACCTGCCTTGTCTGCAGGCCCTCCAATGGGAGGTGCCCAATTTGGTAGTGTTTCTCAATCGATCCTGGTTCTGCTTAAAAACGTCCCTGATTCTCCACCAACTATGAACCAAAATTCAAATACCTCAGTGGAACTGAGGGCCCTAGGCAGTCTACTCTGAATCCTCAGCACTGCTTTACCTTCCCAGCCCTCCCGTCCTCCAAATCCCTACTGTCATGGCCGGCACCTGCCTGGCTAGGCTTCCACACTGCCACTTGAATGCCCTGTGTGTGCTGCTGTCCTCCACTGCCAAAGCCTCCCAGAGCACCCCACAGGCCCATGACACACTGTGCGCAACTGCCCGCTGTGGACCCATCTCTTTCTTTAGGCCTAGCACAGTGTCTGAGACCTTGCCAGTCACTCACACCCTTCCCCCAGCAAAGGCTGGATACAAACTGGAAGGAATCCGGGAGGCTCAGCCCCACATGCACACCTGTGCCTGCAGGGCAGTTTACCTGTCGTTGGGGGTCAACTGGCAGCGTCTGATGTCAGGCACGGAGGTGACCCCGCAGCGCTTGTACTGCCCGTCCCCAATGGAGCGGGACACCTCCAGCACACCCAAGACACGTCCATCCCTAAGACAAGAGAGACATTTTCAGACTCCATCCGAGAATCTGATCCTAAAAGCAGAATACAGAAGAGAAAGCTACGGACTATGGAATCCACATTATAGTACTGACACTTTTTTTTTAACTAACTTTATTTATTTTTATGTGGTGCTGAGGATCAAACCCAGTGCCTCACATGTGCTAGGCGAGCACTCTACCACTGAGTCACAATCCCAGCCCAAGTACTGACACTTCTTGATCTCAACTAACATGCAGTTCTGTGGGTCATTAACATCCGGGGCCCTAAGCTGAGCCCAGATCAGACCCCTGTCGCAGCTCATGGTGCTGCGCCTGACCTCCTAGGAGCTTGACAGTGGTTAATACCACAGTGCCAGGCTTCCCAAGTCACCAACAAGCTCTGAAGAACTGTGTGTGTGAACATGCAGCAAACTCTTCCTGGGCTCAGCCACTGTCTCTTGGAGGCAGAACTCAGCCTGGCCCTCTCTGTATCCGTCACCCCTGCCTGGTGGCTCACAGCCCGGTCATCCATACAAAAGCCAAGACTTCTGCTGGCCATCTCCTGGGATACAAAAAAAAAAAAAAAAAAAATTACAGAGCCAGAGGAACTCGAGTGAGCAGGACCCACAGCTGAGAGTGCAGGTGCAGCGGGGACCCGCAGTCTTAAGAGCCCCAGCTGAAGAGGTGCTTCAGAGGTTCAAGAACTGTGAGAGGCCAACAAAGTGCTTCTGCAACTGAGTGACAAGGTGCCTGGTGTGGCCCCCCCATCACAAACCCATCCTGTGCAATGACCTCTGCAATACATGCTCCTGGAGGACCCAACCTCTGCCAGCTTCTGTGCAGCACAGCTCAGTGCACAGCACCAAGGCCCATCTAAGGAAGCTGAACCTGCGGCGGCTGCTGCCTCTCCTGCCCGCCTGCTGCAGTGGTACACTCCTGAAGTGCTGCTGCCACGGCAGAGAGCAACGACAGATGAGCTTTGGCTCCAGAGAAGCCTGTGCATCCCAGGAAACACTAGGAGGGACCCGCAACCAGCACCCACTGTAATCCCTTGCGTGGGATGCGATATGCAAATGCCAGGCCACCCCACAGAGACAGGTCAGTACTTCCCCAGGCGGAGACTGCACTGTGCCTGGGGAAGCCCCACCCTTTATGCTTTAGGAACTTGTGGTCAAGCTCAAGACCACTGCTGACCAGCTTTGTCAAGATCCAGCCAAACAGGCCACAGGCATCCTAGTCCCCAGCAGCTTCTTCCTTCTCACTGAGACCATGACACAAACCACATGTGACGGTTCCCAGGATGCCTGTGCCGCTCAGGGCGGTTAAATTTCATAGCAGGTCCTCCCCCAGGAGCTGCTGAAAATTCATTCTTCCTCCAGGTCTGCAAGGCTTAGGGGAGTGGCTTCCAGGTCTCACCTACCACGTCATGCCTGTCCGTTGGTGCCGGCCCTCCTTAGGAGACCTGTTCTGAGACATGTCTCCTGCCCTTACACACTTCTAACTTTTGCTTCAAGTGGCTTCCTTTCTGTTTCCCACCTGCCAACCAGCCAGAGAAGCCTCTTCCTATTAGGCGAGGGGCTGCTCAACAGCTCTTGGATCTTAGCTGAGCCTGCTGGACTCGGTTCCAGTTCTTCCTTCATAACCAAAGAGGAGACTTCTACTCCTTGTGGGCTTCAGACTAACTAGGCTAAGGAAAGTGGAGACAGCTCTGACCTCAGGTCCTCTACGTGTGTACAAACGTAGGGACACAAGCAGTCTCAATGCAGCCTATCTGTGACTGACGAGTGCAAAGCACTAGGAGGTGACAGCTGCACTTCCTCACCATCCAAGGAATGGCAGACGCCCAAAACCAGGGTTAACACGACCAGTGCCACAGAGACCATGAGGTCTCCACTTCAGGCCTATTTCTCTCATCTTTCCCAAGACAGGTCTCACTAAGTTGCCCACACAGGACTTGAACCTGGGGACCTCCTGCCTCAGCCTCCTGAGCTGGGATCAAGTAGTGTGCCACCAAACCTGGCTCCAGCACCGTCTCTTCAATCAGGAAAGATCAGAACTTGCCTGGATTCTGGGCACATGGTACTGACAATAACCTGTCCTGATGCCTTCCTTGTGAGATGAAAACCACTGTCTCAGAGAAACTCCCTGCTGCATAACTACCTTCAGTGTGAGGAAGTAGGAGAACTAAGAACACAGGCACAGGTTTTGCTTACTTTTGTAGTAAATACCAGGAAAAAACGGGAAATAGAGTGAAGGGAACAGAGAACAAAGCATGACATTCTTGAACATGTCTTTTCACTCAGTGTAGATTGTGAACCAGGAAACGAAAACTTTTTATTTTGGGGGCCTTTTCCCCCTTGTTAATGGAAAATTGAAACCTCTGTGCACTGCGGGTGGGAAGGTGTGTGTGGTGTTGAGGATGGAACCCAGGATCTTGTGCATGCAGGTGAGGAAAAAAAGGAAATCTTTTCCTTCTTTTTTTTTTTTTGGTACTGGGGATTGAACTCAGGGGAACTCAGCCACTGAGCCACATCCCCTACCCTATTTTTATATTTTATTTAGAGACTGGGTCTCACTGAGTTGCTTATTGCCTCGTCCTTGCTGAGCTTGGCCTTGAACTCATGATCTTCCTGTCTGAGCTGCCCAAGCTGCTGGGAATACAGGCGCGTGCCACCGTGCCCCACTCTTTTATTACTGTGGTAAAATACATATCATATGAAGTTGATCATAGTAACCACTTTCAAGTGCAGTCTGATAGAAGTACACTCACACTGTCCTCAACATCACCACCACCCACCTCTAGAACTTCCTCAGTCTTCCTAAACTGAACCTCCATCTCCATTAAGCACTAGCTTCTGCACCTCTCCAGCCCAATACTCCCATTCTGCTATCTCTGGAGTGGACCCCAAGCACCCTGATGGAATCACAGTGCTTGTCCCTATGACTGGTTTGCTTCACTCAGTGCAGTGTCTTCAAGCTCGTCCATGCTGCCGCGTGGCCGGCACACCATTCCTTCCTGTACACTGTGTTTTGCTTATCTGTTCACTTGTCCCCAGACACATGGACTGCTTCCCGTTTCTACTGTGAACGATGCTGTGAACACAGTGTACAAATACCTGATTGAGTCTCTGCTTGTAATTTCCTTGGGGTACATGCCTAGATGTGAAGTTGCTAGATCCTGTGGTGACTCTCCTTAGTTGCTAAGAAGTGCACACTCTTTTCCATAGTGGCTGCACCACCTTTCACCCCTGGGTGGAGTTGCTCACCTGCATGCACAAGATCCTGGGTTCCATCCTCAGCACCACACATACCTTCCCACCCGCAGTGCACAGAGGTTCCAATTTTCCATTAACAAGGGGGAAAAGGCCCCCAAAATAAAAAGAAACTGAAACTAATGATCATAATAACCAAATAACAAAACCACAGTGAATGATGACTTCACTTTATAGGCAGAGTTCTGACAGCTCCTCTGCAGTCAAGGTCATTCCCAGGACAAGAGAACAGCAGGGACGCTGAAACCTCATAACAGTGGTAACTTCCATACTATGATTCTGAAGTTGTTTTGACAAATAAATATACTAGTATTAGAAACCAAGATTTTCAGCATAAAAGAGCAAGCTGTAAATATTAAAGAAGTTAAGAGAAAAGCCTACCTTGTTACATTTGAGTAAGAAACAGCAATGTAAGTTCCTAATTTTATTTATTCTGTTTTTTTTGGTTTTAATGCTGGGATTGAACCCAGGGCCTTGTGCATGCAAGGCAAGCACTCTACCAACTAAGCTACGTCCCCAGCCTCTTAAACTCCTCATTTTAAACGTGTTGCTTCCTAGCTCTGCCAGTCCTTAAACAGACTCAAGACTTAAGTGACACTACCCAGAAATGTGGACCTTGGTTCTTAAAAGACTAAAGTCAATGTGTGAAGAGGACTCAGAGCCCCTGAAGGAGCTTCCACTGTGGTGCTCGGGTAAAGCAGGAGAAAGCACCACTCAACACACAGAACTAGGCATGTGCATCAGCACACAGTGATCCACAAGGTGAGGGAGATGTGAGATGCAGAGGGACAGGCAAGACACTCACCCTGACTGCAGTCACTGTCTCACTCTGAAAACTGTTAACAAGGACAGAATTAAACACTCACCCCACTCTTTTTCCCCCCCATGTACTATAATTTCTTTCTTTCTTGTACCCCACCCTTTAGAAGACACTGTATGACCTCCTACTGATGAGGGAGAGCGCCTTTCCTTATAAGATGTGTGCCGACAAAGTGGAAGAGTCACAGGACAGGGTCACCTCTGCCATCTAATGAAACACAGGCCCACACAGGGGTCCCCAAGGACAGCTAAAACTGAAAGGCCCACAGGAAAGAGAACAGTACCCCCAGACCTCCTGCTGCTCACGCATGGGAACCTGGAGCCTTAGAACTGGCTATCAGCACGTAGCCAGGTGTGGGACATGGCCTCACTGGAGAACAGCAATATGCCCAGCGAAGGAAGGGGCTGTTGTGTACAGAGCACCCCCATAAGATGCCTTTGTTAAAAACACTCAATTTGAACCTAAAGGCTTTATATCTAACTTCCAGAAAAAATCCAGAAATGACACAAAAATGAAACAAGCAGGTTCAGAACACAGGTGACTCCCCCCACATAGCTGCTGTCCTGGACCAGCATGGTCCAAGTCCTAGCAGGAAGCCAAGGCACTTAGGACATCTAGAGAGTTCTGCATACAGAGAGGATTCAGACAACCAAGATGACCAAAGGGAGTGCTACTGTCTTAGGTGTGACCCGGTCAGTGATTATGTCCAGAATATCCGTACACTGAGGGTTTCAGGGTGTTAAATCATCACATCTACAACTATCTTTCCAACAGTTCAGCCTGGCACACAGACAAACACAACCAAAACCAAATGCTAACTGCTGAATCCAAGTGCTAAAGTCTTGTTCAGCATGGAAATGCCAGGTGGGTGGCAGGCGAGCAGGTCATAGAGCTCCACTGCTTGGAGACAGAGCTACCGCCTGGCTCTGGCCTCTCACCCCACTTCTCTAAAATGAGGGGCTCACTCAAGCCCGTGCTATCAATGTACTGCTAAGGTGTCTGAACATCTGTGCTGAATTAAATGGGATGGAAAACAGGAAGCTCCTCCTCATAACTGGCTTTACATTCTGCCCCAGGACTGTTAATATCAAAATCTTTCTAAGAAGCTAGCCAAAAGAATAGAAGTCATACGAAAGTGCAGAGGAGGAGGTGAGGACACCAACGTTAGGGTCACAGCCTCAGGCGTTAACTTCCACAGCAGGCACCAGGATAGCAGTGGTGGTGGCAAACATCAAGCAAACAGCAATGTTGAAGCCTAAAACCAGGACTGTGACCCCATCATGGCTCCTGAAAATTGCAGAGACGGTGGCCACAATTCCCCCTCACAGCCCAGCAGGCTGAACACGCCGCAGGAGCTCCCACCCCCTCCAAGGGCCCTCAGCACTGGCCACACTCAGCCGGAGCAGCGCAGGCTTCCTGAGCCAACAGAGAGAAAACTGCATTCAGAGACAAACTGCTCCCGGCTACACTGACAGGATTACTTCTTTCTTGCCTACAACAGAAAACAAATGTGATGTCAATGCAAAACGCAGGGTCCTTTAAGTGGCGTTCTCTTAGCACACAGTGCAGACTATAAAGCCCTCTTCTGGCCTCCTGGAAGGGATGGCAGATGAGAAACCATCAGATACATGGTCTTCAGTGATTTAGGGTTGAAAAGAATTGCTTAAGACAGAGCCAGATAACATGCAGTACTCTGTGCCTGAGAAGTTGTTCCCAGCAACCCAGAGACAGCAGCTCTGTGATGATGCCAGCTGTCTGAAGACAGCAATGGGTGGGTTTTTGTTTTTGAGATGGGTCACACTATGTCACCCAGGGTGGTCTCAACCTCCTGAACTTAAAACAATCCTCCTGCCTTTAGCTTCCCAGGTAGCCAGCACTACATGTGCTGGTTCCACACTGGCCCTGCCTTGGAATTCTCCTATCTTAACCACTTAAGATGTTCTTTCTGGAGAACTCACCTAAAACTGTTAATTTACTCAATACAACAAATATTTTTTAAGTATTTAAAACATATTTCCCAGGCAGAGAGAGAATGCTGCAGATAATGACCATCACTCTGTCCCTTTGCAAGTGTAGGGAGACATGTTTTCTATGCACTCTGCTTCCCCTGGACACGTGAAATCCTACAGCAGTCATCCACGTGCTCCCCAGTGGCAGCCAAGAGAAGGTCTCGTCATGGTGGAGGACCATGATGTGGAAAGGCCCCCGCCAAGGTCTGGTGGCTCTTGTGCAACCAGTGGCCTGCTCTCGCTAGCACTCAGGTCCCTGCTTACCTGACGTTGCCTCCAGCCTTCTGTATTCTCATCCGCTCTTCATACTGGGTTGGGTTATGCTCTTTGCTGAGGCTTAAGGCTGCATGTCTTTGACTTTCCTCGTTATAACGACACAGGATTGCCTGCGAAGATGGAGATTATGAGAGAATCTAGAGTTACCAGTGGAAGAGGAAGGTCAACAATCGCATTTCACTTTCATCTACCAGCTGCCAAACAGAAGTTCAGAGAATCAAGCATCCACAAATTGTCAAATAGAAAAGTCACAGAACTGCAGGCTGAACTTAGGGGCACTGCACCACTGAGCCACATCCCCAGGCCTTTTCTTTATTTTTAAATTCTGAGATTGGGTTTCACCAAGTTGCCCATGCTGACTCTGCTGCTTTAACCTCCTGAGTATCTGGGATTCCTGGGGGGTGCCACAACGCCTGGCCCTTTCCCAGCCAGCCCCTGTACTCCTTCAGTTGTCACAGAGTAGCCCTGCCACACTCAAGCAGCCTCTTCATGGGGGAAGCAAAGCAGTCAGGGTGAGCAGCCTCCAGCTTTGGTTTCAGCTCTGGTGCAAACTTTGCTGGATGACCACAGCTGAATGCTCACTGTGGACACTGTCACCAACACAGAAGAGAAGCACTGTTACCAAAGGTAGGCTGTCAACAGTATTAAGGCCACAATCAAAGTCCATGTTCTCTTCTCTTGCTTCATTACAGAGGGTGCTGCTAAGGCTTGGAGCAGAGGTAACAGAGCTAGGATTTGAACTGGGTTTTTTTGTACCATTGAATCCAAGGATGCTTAACAACTGAGCCACACCCCCAGCCCTTTTTATTTTATTTTTTGGGACAGGGTCTTGCTAAGTTACTGAGCCTGGCTTTGAACTTGCGATCCTCCTGCCTCATCAGCCTCCTGAGCTGCTGGGATTATAGGTATGCACCACCATGCCCAGCTCAAAAAAAAATTGGGGGCTGCTTTTCCTTCTGTTATTTGGAGTCAACTGATACAAATATGAGCATGCTAGAGAGCCAGTCTAGCAAAGGGGCACAGAACATTCCCACCAGGCAGGGACTTCCATGTTCCCTGTGGCACCAGCTCAGAAGTACCAGGACATGGATATGAAGCGGGTGCCTGCGTGTCAGTCTGTGACAACTGAAGAAGTGCAGGGGCTGGCTGGCAAAGGGGCAATGAACTTGCACACAGGCTGGGCATGGCAGCTGCTGTAATCCCAGTGACTTGGGAGGCTGAGGCAGCGAATCCCAAGTTCAAGGCCAGCCCAGGCAACTTCGGGAGAACCTCGTAGAGGTTCGTAGCTCATTGGTAGATGGCTTGCCTATCACAAGCGAAGCCCTGGCTTCAATCCCCAGTATTGTAAAACAGAAACTAAACACCAGATCCTGATGGAGCAGGGAGGGACCGTCCGCAGCCAGCCCTCAGAGCCTTGCATCCATCCCACAACTTCACCTCACTGGCTTCTCTCCCTCACCAGGCAGACTGGGACTGTGGCTGAGCGGAGCCTCACCTGGTACTTCTTTAGCTACAACTTCAAGTTATTCCAAAATCACAAGGACTTTAGAGATGCAGGGGTTAATGCTTTCGTTCATTACCATCTGAGGTCAGAAAAATGTTTAAGGATTTGCGAACAGATGAAATTCTGAACCACGGTATCAGAGTGCGCTGTCTGCATGCACACCCACAGGAGGTAGGTGGGAGGGAGGGGAGGAAGGACGGTGTAAAGGCAAAACTGCTGTGAGGCACAAGTCTCCCCAAGGAACAGACTGCCTTGACTTTAGCTGCTGGTCCCCTCCCAGGAGTCACACTGTGGCAGAGCCTGCTGCAGCAACCCCACCAGAAGGTCTGACCCAGCCACTGCCACTTAAAAAAAAAAAATTATTTTGTAGTTATAGTTGGATACCTTTATTTATTTTCATGTGGTGCTGAGGATCAAACCCAGGGCCTCACATGTGCTAGGTGAGCGCTCTACCCCTGAGCCACAATCCCAGCCTGCCACTGCCACTTTGACCTCACTTAGCCAGTGCTTGCTAAGGGCCCCCATAAGATGTGGGTGGCTCAGAGCCACATACCCGACTATCTCCGAGGTTGGCAATGTACAGGATGTTGTCTACGGCCAGGACACACGTGGCAGTGGACCCGTCCTTCCAGGCAGGCTTCCTGGAGAAACATCAGATATGCCGTCACCACCACAGGCAAACACCCAGAGGTCAAGTTCCAGAGAAGAAGTTGCTCAGACTCTAAAGCGACCATTTTCATGATGCTGCATGGTTTGAACAGGGTTAGTGGCTCCCGAATGCCCACATCAAAGGCTTGAGCCAGGATGACACCACTGGGGGTACAGTGATCTTTGCAAGGTGGGCCAGTATGTTGCTGCAAGCATTCACTTGAGGGTACTGTCAAAGCATGCCCTTGAAGAGGCTGTGGGACCCGGCTGTTGCTCCTCCTCTTTGCTTCCTGGTCCAAGATGTCAGCACTGATTCTGACATGTTCCTACCCTGATGTGCTACTCTGGCCAGAGGACCAATCCAATGGGCCACTCTATCTTGGATTTGAAGTCCAGACTGTGAGCTAAAATAAAACTCTTTACTTCATAAGAAGCCTGGGTCAGGCATTTCATTATGGGATGCAAAGCTGACTAACCCATTGCTTTTTTATTGTTTCAAGTTTATCTAGTGGTTGTAAGGGTTTACTTGGTGCTGGGCACTTTTCGGACATGAGCACTAGTATTAATCTGTATCGGAAGGCCTGACGCACGTTCAGGAAAACAGTGCCCCATTCTTCTGCACAGAGTTATACTTACTGGCTCGAAGCCTGTTTAAGGAACTCCTCGTCAGTATGCTTGAAAGTGTCCAAAAGGCATCTCTTCACGGTCTTCTCCACACTGATCACATCTCCTATTACAGATGGTCCAAGAAAGCAACAACCTCTCAAGGCATGAAGCCTGCCTCCCCCTGCTCATACTGGCTTTGTACTTTGCATACATCGACTGACGTCCTCCCATGACAAAGAGCCACCTCCACTTCCTCACCTACGGAACAGTGCCCGCCATATGTGCGCTCGCCATTTCCCCAGGTGAAGGCAGGTGAGACACTCGACACCCTCGAAGTTCAAGACACAAGGAGCACAACCGCCCCCGGGGGTGGCCTCAGCGCCCCCGCTTGCCTTCAACCCACTTTTTAAAAAATTTAAAAATTTTTAATTGTACAAAGATATGAAAAACTGTGCTCTATATGTGTAATAAGAATTGCAGTGACGTGTATTTAAAAAAAATAAAATCAATTAAATAATTAAAAAAAATTTTAGTTGTAGATAAGACACAACACCTTCATTTTGTTTTGAGTTTTTTAATGTGGTGCTGGGGATCAAACCCAGTGCCTCATGAGTGGTAGGCAAGAGCTCTACCACTGAGCCACAACCCCAGCCCTTTTTTAAATATTTTTTAGTTGTCAATGGACTTTTACTTTTTTATTTAAATGTTGTACTGAGAATCAAACCCAGTGCCTCACACATGCTAGGCAAGCGCTCTACCACTGAACCACAACTCCAGCCCCCACACTCTTAATTTTAAGAGCCATTAATCACTTTCTGCCAAAACAAACCAGCACACCAACTACCCAACAGACAGCAAAACCAAAATAAACACTGATTTATTTTTTCATCTCACCTTTAGGAAATTTCCTGATTAAGTTCTGATGCAAATTCTGTGCAGCAAATTTTGAGGCTCGAATTCCTCCATGTCCATCAAAAACAGCAAAATACGAAACCCGAGTGCTGGAAGAACAAACCAAGTATCAGTGGGGTTCTCACTGCAGAGATGGCACCTCCTCAGTGAAACTCCACATCTGGTCTCCAACAGTGAGCACAGAGACAAGGAAGCTGGGCAACCCAGAGGAATGAGGCGAAAACAGTACCCAAGACAGGCATTTAAGTAACTCTCGGCATTTTAGTTAAATGTTAAAAACCCACACTTGCTTAAAAAAAAATCAAAATCTGTTAACTGATGAAATTAAATTGACAATGAAATTAAAACTCACAGCTCCTTTCCTATTTAACTTGAACTTGTTTTTCTCTTTTCTTTTTCTTTGGTGCTAGGCATCAAACCCAGGGCCACACACATGCTAGGCACCCACTCCATCACTGAGCCACACCCCAACCTCAGGTTTGGTTTTAAACATTAACGCATACTGATCCACTGATCCAATAGTCAAACATGTCTATGAGAGCTGGGAAGAGTCAGGTGTGAGGCCAGCCTGGGCAGCTGAGCAAGACTATCTCCAAATAAAAATAAAAAGCACAATGGAATATTACTCAGCAATAAAAGAGAATAAAAACATGGCATTGCAGGTAAATGGACGGAGTAATGCTGAGTGAAGTTAGCCAATCCCCAAAAAATAAATGCTGAATGTTTTCTCTGATATAAGGAGGCTGATTCATATTGGGATAGGGAGCGCGAGCATGGGAGGAATAGACGAACTCTAGATAGGGCAGAGGGGTAGGAGGGGAAGAATGGGGGCATGGGGTTATTAATGATGGTGGAATGTGAGAATCATTATTATCCAAAGTACAGGTATGAAGCACGAATTGGTGTGAATATACTGTATACAACCAGTGATATGAAAAATTGTGCTCTATATGTGTAATTAAGAACTGTAATGCATTCCCCTGTCATATATAAATAAAAAACTAAGGAAAAAAAGGGCTAGGGACTGGGGATATAGCTCAGTTTATAGAGTGCTTGTCTCGCATGTACAAAGCCCTGGGTTCAATCCCAGCACCACAAAAACAAACAAACAAAAAAATTGCTGGGGATGCAGCTCAGTGATAGTGCATCCCTGGTTTCAATCCCAGTGAGGGTCTGGGGAGAACTGAGGGAAATTCCAGAACTATTATAGAAAAAAATTAATATCTAACTTTAAAAGCATAATACTAGTATTATTCCTTCTTCCCTTTCAAGTCTTACCAAAACCCCACACATGTGGAACACAAGAAATCAAGAAAACCGTCAGGGAGAGATCAAAGATGCCGTGAGAAAGCCGCCTGCCTGTGCAGCCACTCTTCTCTCCAGGTCTGGGGTTCCATTTCTGCTCAGGGACATGAGCCATGAGAGACTAGCCTGTCTAGCTCAGAGCTAGGGGCTGCTGCCATGCAGCTGGCATCTCTGGGCGGCAGGGCTACAAGATCTGCCTGCTGCCCCCAGGTCTTCCCTCCTGGGGAAGGGAGTGGGATCCCACAGGCCCCACTGGTGCAATCCTGGCATGCTCCCAGGCACACCATGACCTAGGCGAGCAGCGGTAGTGAGCATACACCTGGCCTGCCCCCGTGACAGCCGCCTGCAGCAAACGTCCCCCCATCTTCACCACCAAGCACAGTGTGTGTTGATGGCCATCTGGTGTTAGTCAAAGTATGAAGTGCACACATCATGTAATTCTGGATTATGGAAATTGCACATGTAATATACATAGCTGTGATTATTCAATACACCATTATATGTGTAGTGAAATGTTGTTAATGCCCCTTATCTCCAAACTTGTGGTTGCTGAGTGCTTATCAGAAGGCTTCCCTTCAGTTTTCACAGCTGCAGGAAAAGTCTCATTGTCTTTCTTCTCCTCAAGGTCATGGTCTTTCTGGGTCCTGGTTATCTGTACTGCCTCTCCCTGATCCTATTCAATCAGAAATTAGTGGCTCCCAACTCTGTCCTCCAGGATGCAGAATAAAAATATTCTGCCAGGCCTCTGACCGAGCATCCCTGAGCAGTGGAGCTCTGTGTGCTGGGACCACGGCCGGGCCCTGGAGGCAGTGGTGACCAACGGGGTGTCTGGCAGGCTACAGCAGTGAGGCTAGCCTTAGGCGTTTAGATTTTTCTTTTTTTATAGTAGGGAAGGTTCAGCCATCACTGGGGTATTTTAGAATCCCAGGACATCAGAGTGAAATTATCAGTTGTCAGTGTTTGCTTTAACATCTGAAAAAGGTTCCTGTTCTACATCACTTCAGACCATTAGGTACTGTGGGTGAGGCGACACGCTCCTCTGCCATGGCCCCCTAGGAAGCTGTCTTTCTGTTGAATACTGTACCTTTGCTCTCTCTCAATTCGAGTGGACTATGCTTTAGTGTATTTATAAATGATGAATTCAGTTTCTGAAATTAAACTTTTTATTTGCGGTTAAAAAAAAATATTCTGCCAAAGCTGCTCAGCTTCTGGTAAGAGTAACATACCCTAAAGTCCATAACATGGGAGTCACTTCCCACTCAGCGGCACCTGGCTGTAGCCCTGTGATGTTGCAGCCTGGGCAGCTGAGGGCTGGCCTGTGCCTATAAGATGTTCATCAGCATCCTGGCCTCTATGAGGCCAGTAGCACCCCCTCCCCCAACCCTGACAACAAAAATGTCCCCAGACACTGAGAAATGCCCCTGGGGGACAAAAAATAACCCCAGCTAAGAAGCACTGATACAGAAGCAAGCAATCCAAACCGCACGTCAGAAACTGGATTCAGTCCAAAATGCCAGGCAGAACAGAGGAGAGCTTCACATGAGCAGGCTTGCTGGAACACAGCACTCACATGAGGGAGGATGGGGGCCTACACTCGTCAGTGATGTCATTCAGGATGACGTGCGCGTCCTGCATCTCCTCCCTCTCACCCTTCCGCTCAGCCACATAGCCTTTGAGACCAAAGATCACCGAAGAGGCTGGGGAAGAGAACAAAAAGCCAATACAAAACTGTGCCCTGCCCTCTGGAAGCCCCCATCCCAGAGCAATGAGAGAAGGCTCAGCAGCTTTACTCAGTAGTGCCCTAAAGACACAAACAAGCCAATGACAGTCCTCAAGACTGCTCCCAGCTGCAAGTCTTAACCACAACCAGAGCACTGTTGGCTAGGCTGGGCTGAGAGGCTGCACGTGGGGCAGGAGCAGGGACGGGGGGTGGGAAGATGGTCAGTAAGCACAGACATACTCTGCCTAAGGAGGTCAGAGAGAGAGCAGCAGGAGGTCAAGGGAAGTACTGTTATACTGCAGAGATGGAACTGCACCAGGGAAAGGGATCCTACGCAAATCCAGTCTTGTGATAATTTAATGAGGACATAAAAACTCCCAGTTTGGGAAAACTGTAGCGTACACCCCAAATACCTTGAAAATATGTATCCAAGTGAGGCTGGTAAAGAATGTCAATGAGTGATAAGATTGCTGCTTTTGCTTCAACAAGGACACAAGGAGAAACAAGGCTTTCAGAGGCACAGAATCTGGTTACCTTAAAGGCTAGGCTGGTTTAAGCTCACATGTGCCACCTGGCGCCAGGTAACTAATAAACTGGCACTGAGAAAAGCTGTCCTCTGGAAAGCTACAGGCTGAGTTGAGGCCGTGGGCTCACAACGGCCTCTCCGACAACTCTGACTGAGGACTTCTGTGCCAAGGACAGAGCAGGACAGGAAATGAAAGCCCACAGCTACTTCCCATTACTCTATGCTAAGTAACAGCTGTAAACAAAGACTGGGGCGTCAGCAGTAGCCGGAGTGGCCAACACACTAACCATCCCAGCAGAAGAGGAAAGCAGGGCACCAGTGCTTCTTACTCCTGAGGAGATGTTCCCCTGGGACCTAAGGCAGGGTCCCAGGAGAAAGCAAGGTCCTCCTGGGAGCTGTCCACAGAGGGAGCCCCACCCACTCCTCAAGTGCACAGGCAGAAGGAAGCATTCTAACTAGAAAGCCGAGATGGGTTTTGCTCTGGGCTAGTTTAAAAGATGAAGTCTAATACATTTGTTTTCAAACTGTCTGAAAACCTTTACAAACTTTCTTTTCCACAAGCTCTTCATTGCCATTCTCCTCCTCAGAAGTTTTCCTTTTTGCTCCTTTTCCTTCATTCTTTATGGTCTGGGAGATTGACACAGCAAGAGAACCTGGAAATAAAGCAAAAGTCAAGACAGAAACACAGCTGTAGACCATCAGAAAAAGTCACCTGCAGACGAGGCTCCACCCCACCCTAGAGACAGAATGATCTCTCCAGCAAGGACAGTCAGAAGTAGTTAGGCCCAGGACCTCGAGGAGCTGGGGTGCACAGGCGGTGCTGTGGACCTACAATGGAGAACACCAAGCGATATCCAGGCCCCGAATCATCCTGGCCCTGAAAGAGGTTGTATAAGAGGCTTCTTGGTAGCAAAAATGCACATGTTCTTGGCCTACAGCATACACGTGTTTTATATCCACAGATCCACACTGATAAATAGGGACTCTGCAAAACCTGTGAGCACACTGCCACATCCAGAATCAGCTCACAGAGTAACATGCCCAGACCCTCGCTATAAAAGTCTGCTTTTCCCACTTGAGGGGGACGGACGTGAGCTTCAAGACACACCTAATGGCCCCTGCAGTGCTTGTGTGCTGGGAATGAGGGACACCTAGGTTTCCTCATCTGCTACATAGCTGAGAACTCTGTCCCCTCAGAGGGCTGTTTGAAAGTCAATGAGGACAAGGTACATGAGCCTGCTATACCAAATGTCCAACACATGAAAGTGCTGTCCAAATAAATGGTCTGCCTTTAGGTCTGAAGTATGCAGCCATTCATTCAGCATATGCTTTACCAGATAACTGAATCCTGAGGAAAAATAAAAAGATCCTTAGCTGGGTGCGGTGGTGCACACCTATAATCCCAGCTACTTAGGAGGCTGAGGCAAAAGGATCACAACTTTGAAGCCAGCTTTAGTAACCTGGTGAGACTCTGTGTGTCAAAATAAAAATTAAAAAGGACTGGGGATGTAGCTCAGTGGCAGAGTGCTTGCCTAGCAGGCGTGAGGCCCCAGGTCCCACCCCCAGCACCACAAAAAAGAAACAGATCCTTTATGGGGTGTATTTCATGGCCTAGCACTTGGTCAATTTTCATAAATGGTTCTTTGCTGCTTCAGAAGAATGTGTGGTCTTCTCAAGAAATCCAAAATATTTGATGCAAGATTCTCTCTCCAAAAAATCAGGCTTGTTAATGGTGGTGGTTAAATCTAGTAATAGTTTATTTACCTACTAATTTGTTGTCTTTTATTAATTTACTAGTTCGTGGTCTTCTGCACTATGAACAACTAAGAGACAGCTGAGTTTACTCTTCCCTTCTACGTAACAGGGACAAAAAAGAAACATTGCTGAGAGGGGGACCGCACAATAGTACGAACAGGCCCGACACATGTGGGTCTGGCAAGAACATAGGCAAACCAAAGTAACAGACTACAAAGAATGTGTAAAAGGTTAACAACTAAGTTAAGAGTAAACTGTTAGCTCCAACAGGCCGAGCCCCAATAAGTTAGTCCCCACAGTGACACAGCACAGAAGCACCTAGTTTCTGCTCCACGTGAGGGTGCTGTGCACTCTACCACACCTGGGCTGCACTGCGACGCCACACCATCCCAAACCCCAGTCACGCCTACACAGGACATCCACCCTTACCTGACTCGCCACTGCCGGCAGGTGGGAGATCATCAAAGAGCAAAGGTCCCCCTGGTCCTGAAACACAGCAAAACACCCAGTGAGCTCACAAAGGAGGACAGGCTTGAATTTCAGAATCCATCCCACCAGGACACTATGTAGGGTACTGGAATAAACTCAAAGCTCTCGTGTCAATCCAGTGGCAACTCACTGCAACAAATAACATCTTGAACCTATTTTAAAGTCCTATCATTGCAAAGGAAATAAAAATTCTGCCTTAAAAAGTTGAACTTTTTTCAACTAGTAGAATAAGCACTCAAATGACCCAGAGGAAACTGCGACATTTTTACGCAGTACTTCTCAGGGCTAGCGACTAGCAGATTTTTCTGCCTTACCTGATGCCATGGATTCAAAACTTAAGACAGTCCAACACCTAAAACATCTGTGTGTTGAAAATGGGGGAAAGGGAGAAAGATTGAGACAACTACAATCCCAGGATGAGTAGAGACGTTGACACACACCTGGGAGAGCCTGAAGACTGTACCTGAGTCAGTACTGCTGGCCGGAGGGAGGTCCTCAAAAAGAAGGGATCCTTTCTGAGCTTCCTTCCCTGAAACACAGAACACCTGTTTAGAGCAGAGGACGGTCATCCAGGACGGACTTTCAAAGGGGACAGCAGTGTGCTCTCCCCCACTTTGAGACAAGTTCAAATTCCTCCTTTCTGTTTGACAAACTTATTTTTAAAAATACTTCCTGGACAGTTGTTTAACATAGAGCTTTGTTTCCAGCAGTTACAGTCAACATAAAAGCAATGAATGATGCCCCAGAGGGCACTTTAAGGCCACTAGGTATTTGAGGAAAACAAGGTTTTTTCCCCTGATAATTTCATTACTAAAAGCATCAAGTACTTAAGACACCTTCTCTAAAGAAGAATCTTGGGAAGAAAAAAAAACTGATTTTAGACCAAAACAAGAAGAAAGAACTTCAGAAATAGTAAGCTTTCAAAGGCTCCATGTGTTAATAACCTATCACAACAAGACTGCAACAGAAGAAAATCCCTGCAACTTGGGGCCACCAGCCCCAACACAGTCCCCGAGTCAATAAACATTTACAGAGAAGCCTAGACATTTTAGACAGTGGAAGACAACTGGCCTCAGGAGAAAGCCAGCAAAATGTTTTATCTGAACTCTGAAAATTTACACTCCAAAAGTATGTCCTAAATTTTCATGTCCCACTATCCCTGTCTTCATAAAAGTCAACTGCCACTGCTTTCTCTCCAGCTTTTCTCCAAAATTCTATTTAAGCTATCACATATATGAACTAGCACATGAAAACATGGGGGAAACATAAGATGGAAGAAGAGCAGTCCCCCTACCCTCAGCCTCACCTTCTAGTTTCAATTAACTGAGGTCAAACACAGTCCATAAGGATTAAATGAGAAATTACAGAAGTAAACAATTTCTGTTTTTAATTGTGTACCATTCTGAGTAGAAGAATGGAATCTTATGCCACCCTGCTCTTTCCTACCAGAGTTATGACTCATCCCTTTATCCAGTGTCTCCATGATCTATATGCTACCTATCTATGAGTTACTTAGTCATGATTGTCACATAGTAGCCATCCTGGTTATCAAATAAATGACTGCTGCAGTATCACACTGCTTGGGTTCGAGTAACCCTTATTTTACTTAATAATGTCTCCAAAGCACAAAGTTTTATTATAATATATTGTTATAATTGTTCTATTTTATTTTAAGTTGTTGTTAATCTCTTACTGTGCCTAATTTATAAATTCAACTGTATTGTAGACACATATTATAGGGAAAAACAACGTACACAGTTCAGGACCACCTGAGGTTTTAAGCATCAACAGGGGCTCTTGGAACACACTCCCTAGATAAGAGGGGTCTTCAGTACAGCACACTGACCTCCTATGAAGTTTGAGATGCACACCAAACACACAGTGTTTGTCTTGCTTCTTGATCTTCAGAGATGAATTATAAAAACACACTCATTTAAAACTGATTCACTCTAAGTTTGTATTCAAGATTTTCATCATATTATCTTTTTGCCTCCAAATAGAAATCAACTGAGTGTTAATTCTCTTTTAAAAACAAAAATTTCAAGTAAAATTCTCTAAACTCCAAGGAAAGAAAATTCTCAAGGGGTCTTTAGGTTATAAGTATCAAACGCATGGATTCAAACCCATGCTCTTCATGAGGTGCACTACAATCCCACCTTTGTAGGGATTGTACAAAGATCCTCTCATCTTACCCCTGCATCGATCCAAAATGATAACCTGGAGGCTCTACAAAATCTTTTGTATCATCAAGATAGTCAAACCAGCTGGGCAGGTGGTACATGCCTGTAATCCCAGAAGCTCAGGAGGCTGAGGCAGGTGAATTTTGAGTTCAAAGCCAGCCTCAGCAACTCAGGGAGGCTATAAGCAACTCAGTGAGACCCTGTCTCTGAATAAAATATAAAAAAGGGCTGGGGATGTGGCCCAATGGTTAAGCACCCCTGGGTTCAATTCCAAGTACCAAAAATAAATAAACAAATAAAATAAAAATGATCAAACCAGAAGTTAGTATCTGGACTATTTAAAAGAAAGAAGATCTGTTACAGATACATAAAGGGAACTTCTGATTAGTCAAAATCTTACATTCTATTTTGGATACACAGAATTGGGGAATGCTATCATTGGACAAAATGTGACCTTGTCCCAAAACTTTGAAAGAGCACCCCCAGATCTGAATATAACAACCCTAATAAAGAATGAAACAAAACTGAAAATGTTTTTCATTACAATTAATCTCACCTAATTTTTTGTTACTGATGCTAAGTCTACTGGAAGTTATATGAGACTGCTGTGCAAAGCTACTCTAGGGTTGGTCATATTCAGTTAGTTAAAGGTTGCTATATACAAAAAGATATTTTAAAATTTGCCTAAATTGTGTTTTTCTTTTCTTTATATATCAGAATTTTCTTTCTAACTACAAAAAGCAACATAGGTGTGTTTCCTAAATACCACAGAGGCACTACCAAAGGGGGAGGGAAAGGTGGGGAGTAAGGGTCTGGCTCCACCACAATCCCAGCCACAGCAACACCTCAGAGCTCACTCCCACTCCCCTGTGCTCCATCCCACATCGATCACTCAGGTACCCATCAGGGAATGCCCAGAAGCCAGCACACCTGTGTCTAACTCACTCTGACAGCTGCATGCTATTCCACATGGGAAGTAGCTGTATTCATTTGTCAAGTTCCCTTACTGATGGGCATTCAGGCCATTTTCTAGTTCTTCACATGACAAATGATGCCATGACAGTGCCAATAACATGATACATGCCTGCTGTCCCAACTACTTGGGAGGCTGAGGCAAGAGGACCACAAGTTTTAGGCCAGTCTGAATAATGTAGTGAGACCATGCCTCAAAAATTTCAAAATAGGGGTGAGGATGAACTCAGTGGTAGGGCTCTTGCACAGCATGTGATAGGCACTGGGTTCAATTCCCAGTACGGGGGGAGGTGGGGGAGCCACACAATCTTACACATATAAACTTACTTAATCTGGTCAAAGGGTATGAGGGAATTGAACCAAGGGGTGCTCTATCATTGAGCTATATTCCCAAACCCTTTTTATTTTTGAGACAGGGTCTCATTAAGTTACTGAACCTAGCCTCGAACCTGTGATCCTTTTGCCCCAGCCTCCCAAGTCACTGAAATTATAGGCATGTGCCACCATGCCTGGCTGAGTAGTTTAAATTTGATAGCCACCAAAGTGTGTCCCCAAAAAAGTTGCAGTAACTTCCACTCCCAGAATACATTTTATGAGAAAGGCCATTTACTAACACCTCCATGAGTGCTACCAATTTTTGCTAAGCTGTAGGTGGAGAAATATACCATATCAGTGATGTGACCTCTCCTTCCTCAGTGCCCAGAGAAACAGCACTCTTATAGGAACAGGACATGTCCTCTGACTATTTTCGTAATGGGATATCTTTGTCTTCTTTAACTCCTTTTCTTCTTAATCCTTTCACTTATTGAGTATATTGATTTTGTAATGTACACTATAGTTATTTCCTTGAGTTTGCCTTTTGCCTTGTGGTATATTCTGTCCTGCAAAAATTTTAACTTCACACTGTCAAATTCATTTTATTTTTTTATAACTTGAATTTTTTCCCTGCAGTTTTACAATTGATCTGTTTTATTCTAATATCTTCACTTTTTTTTTAAAAAAAATTAGTTTTTAGTTATATGGAGACAATATCTTTATTCTATTTTTACATGGTGCTGAGAATCGAACCCAGTGCCTCATGCATGCTAGGCGAGCACTCTACCTCTAAGCCACAACCCCAGCCCTAATATTTTCACCTTTATATTGATATATCCAATTGTTTTAAAGAAGTATTTTTAAGATGGTCTGCCAAGCAAATACTTTGTCCTCCACAGATGACCCTCAGTTTTGTTTTGGGTGCTAGGGATGGAACCCAGGGCCTCAGCATGCTAAACATGTACTCTACCACTGAGCTACACCTAGCCTGACCATCAGTTTCAAACTTGCTGGTGTAACAACAAAGTCAACCTCCATTCCTATAAAACTGAAACTGAGTTATTACCAAAACAATTTTAAGTCAACATTTTTATGAGTATGGCACAGAAAAATTCCATTTCTGTCTCACATAAATATCTTTCTGTTAGGTAACAGATCAAGTTTTAAAAAACTCAATTTAATGAGCAATCAAAACCTTTTAAGGACAGGGATGAAAACTATTAATTTAGCACATTATCTGAAAACATTTAGTGCACTCTTTCTACATTCTTTCTCAAGATCATTAAAACTTAAATTTTGTAGTAGAAACATTAGAAGCGATGCTGAAAACAAAACCAAAATCAAAAGAACACAACACACTTGGTGTGAGCTGAGCAGTGTATAACATTCTACCTTTGGACACTTAGTGCTTTTACAAAAGCCATTTAAGATTGCTCCCCCAGCTTTAAGCAGCTGAGGTTAATAGCTCATGTGACAATGGCTAACATCTGCAAAGCACTTTCCGCTCCATCCTGCACCATGAGTGCCACACACTTTTACCTACACGATGACAGAAGTTGTCACTCCTGAGCTAGGACTGTAGCTCAGTGGTACAGCGCTTGCCTAGCATGCATGAAGCATTAGATTTGATTCTCAGCACCACATATAAATAAATAAAATAAAGGTCCATCAACAACTAACATTAAAAAAATAGTGAAGGTGTCACCCCCTTTTATAGATGCAGGAACAGCCACAGAAAGCATAGGGTTAGTAAGTGAAAAGTGGGATTTGAAACCAGTCTGGTTACACCTCCCAAACATTACTTCTGGGGACTGTGAGAATAACCAGGTTTTTCACACTGCCTGCATCATCCACATATCAGGTGTGAGGTCATGAAACAGTACAGTCTCATCCTTCACCCACATTAGCAGTCAATATGATTTACTGAAACAAAGTGTGATTTGTAATTAATTTATTTTAAAAAACAAGTATTTTTCCAAGAATGTGAAATCTGATTCTGTTCTCAAATGATTTTTTTTAAAGTCAAATCTTATCTTTTGGTTTTTAACCATCAAGATTACTGGGTTCCAATTCTGTCACTCACTTTAAAACTTATCCCCTAGCTTCCTACAACCTAGGAATTCTGAAAGTATGACTTCTTGGTTTTAAAGCTATTTGTAAAAATAGTCACAGAGTCTGTGATGGCGACAGTGTCCTGGCAGAAGGGACTACTTCACTAATGCACACCCAGGGGAGGAGGCTGAAACACCTGCAGCCCCTCTGCCACCTTGTCAGCAAGGTCTGGAAGCAGAATTTGGGGGGAAAAAAATCAGTGGCAGGTTGCGCCCTCCTCACTATATCTAACAGGCTGCTAAGTGACAACTTGTAAGACTTCGAGTGGTCAGGTTTTGTCACATCATGGGGCCTTCCTCTGAGAACAGACCCAAACTAATTTCGGGTAAAAAGTAGTAGAGACTAAAAAAGGTCCCAGCTTGACAGCCACACCTAGGCATCTAACTGCCCCAAACACATTCGGATACAAATCACGCTCCACCGACGGCAAGGGCCTGCCTGCCAGAAGCCGGTTTGCCCTCCTCTGTAACTGCAGCTGTCCCAAGAACAGACGCGGAGCCCGGTTCGCAGCCGCAGGGAACAGTCATTCAGACTCCACTGCATCTCCGGAACGGCCGGCCGGAAGGACGGTGCCATTACCAGGTGCGACAGCAGACAACTTCTCGCGCCGCGGCGAGGAGACGGACCCAAGCCCGCCGGCCGCCCCGGGCACGCTCCGCCCCGCAGGCCGCCGGTCCGCCCCCGCCCCCTCGCTCGCCCCCGCAGCCACTCGCGTTCAACGACAGCCACCTGCGCGCGGGACGCAGCTCCGGAGCACCTGGCGCAGGAGGCCAGGCCCGCACGCCCACAGGCTCCGGAGAGGAGCTCGAGCCGGGCTCAGGTAACAAAGGCGCGAACCTCCGCACCCTCAGCCCCGGCGCGTGGGCGCGGGTGCTGCGACTCGGGCCGGCGCGTGCGCCGCGCCACACCGGCCCAGGCAGCTGCGGCCGTCGCGCCCGGGCAGCAGGCCGGGTGGCCAGGCGCGGCCTCCGCCGCCAGGACCAGCGGCGCCGTCCCTTCTGCGCAGCGAAGATGGCGCAGGCGCGCCGGCCGCTCCGCGGGGTCGACAGTCAGGGCAGGCCGTGCAGCCCGCCTCGGCCGCCGCCGCCCTCCCGCGCCGCGCCGCTTACCCGCAGCCGGGCGCGGCGAGCGCTCGGGCTCGGGTAGGTCCCCGAAGAGGTCCATGGCGGAGGCTGGCAGCGGCGGACGCGCAGCCCGAGCAGCGGCCGCGCTCCACACCCCGGCGGCGGCGGCGCCGTCTGTCACCCGGCGGCGGCGCGGGGCGCCACCAATCGGCGCGCGGCGCGGCCGGCCGTCCCAGAGTGCCGCGCGCGAGTGGGGCGGGGCACCGCAGCGAGGAGGCGGGGCGTCCCCCGCGCAGGCGCACGCTCACAGGGTCCCACCGAGCTTGTCCCGGCCTGCCGCGGTACCCCTGTGCCTGTCCTGAGCGCGAGCCCTGCTGCGTCCCGCTGGCGTTCCTTCGGCTTGTGTTGAGCTCCCGGCCGGGAACGCCAGTCCAGCGTGGAGTGCGTGACCCCTGGTGTCCGGAGGGCTTTCCGGATCTTCGGCGTCACCGCAGCGCTGCCTCGATGGCACCGCCACGGCCCGCCTGGGCTCCAGGCCGATTTTCGAGACCGGAGGCCTAGGCTTGGCCGGAGCGGCCCGGTGCGTCCCCGCAGCGCCTGCACCCTACGGCCTGGCACGTGCTGGCCTTCGTGTCCTGTTGAAGCCAAGCCACTTGGTGCGACGTCGTCTTCAGACTGTGATAGGGTAAACCAGACCTCTCTCTAAGTCCGAACAGAAAATGTGAACTTAGTCCAGGCCGCAAAAATGACCCAGTGTCCCCCTCCTGGGCGGATGAGAGGCAGTTCTTCTTCTGTCTAGTCTTCCTATTAGACTACCATACCCAGTCATGGAAGTAACCTCTTCTTCCTGACACCGTCCAGAGCAAAGCTCCACGTCCTTAAAGGCCACCCAAAACAAACTGACACAGACCCAAACCTGACAAGTCCTTTCCAACAACCTCTTTTTTTTTTTTTTTTTTAAAATTTATTTATTTATTTTATTTTTAGAAGGCACAATCCTTTTTTTTTATGTAGTACTGAGGATCGAACCCAGGGCCTTGCATGTGCTAGGTGAGCACTCAACCGCTGAGCCACAACCGAAGCCCCCCAACAACCTCTTATCTGAGTTTCCCAGTTAGGTATTCTCCCTCCATGCAATGAGTGAGAAGACCAGATGTGACCCAGCTGCTTTCCGCCTGTAGGACATTGACTGGGTCCCCCAAGCCTCCATGCTGCTCATCTAGCTGCAGCAGATGAAATGCCTCCTCGCTTACAGCAGAAATACTTGGAAGTAACAACAATCAGTCTCCATTTCCTTGCCTCCTACCCACTCCTCAGTCCACCCCAATCTAGTTTCTCCCCATCACTTATCCAAAAGAGGCTCTTGCTAAACTCACCAGGACTTTCCACTTGAGCTAAGTGGAACCAACCTTTTTGGTCATCATCTTACTGCCATCTCAGCAATGTCTGTCTCTTGGCCTCTCTTTCCCTTTGGTTTGTAGAATTCATCACTCTTCTATTTTTATTTCTGTTCTCTGGCTTCTCCATCTCTGTCTCCTTTACAGGCTCTTCTGTCTTGCTATTAGATGAAATTCTTTAAGTCTTGATCTGAGTCCTCATTCCATACTCTGTCCCTTGGTAATCTCATGCTCGTCTGGTTGAATTACCACCCAAATGAACATAGTTTGCTAATTTACATTTACTGCTATACCAGATCTGTGTTCATGTAAGTATCCATGTGATATCTCCTGGATGACTCAAAAGTACCTCAACCTGTCCCCAGCTGAATTCACTTTCTCTGCCCCCCCCTCTTTCCTTCAACCTATTCCCCTTCCAGAGTTGACACCACCCTCAATTCCCACTACAGACACTTCCATGGAAGACAGATTAAAAGGTACCCCCAATGCCCCCATCTCCTAATACTCAGATTTAGTGCAGACCCCTTGCTTTGTTTGTGGTAATGTGTGATTCCTTTACACATGTTGGTAACACCCACCCTGCTAGGAGGCTCAGAGGAAGCTTCTGTCCCAGCCTACCTGGTTGCAGCCTTGCAAGGGCTCAGCTGGGACTGAAAACTGGGGAGTTGGTGCATGGACTCCAGGCAGAGGGATGTGGTGCTGTGCCCTGCAGCGGTGGGTATGAATACACTCTCCATCACAGGTTCTGTCTGCTTACCTCCCAAACACCTTGCCTTGCAGCCCACCCCCGCCAAGTCTGTGTACCAGAACAGCCTCCTTTCAGCCTTCTCCCTCGCCCTCAATCCCTTCTGCTTCACTTTCTTTCCCTTGTCCCAGGACGTTTTCTCCTGTGGGGTCCTTGGCTTGTATAACAGCATCAAAAACAAACATTTGTTTGTTTGTTCATTCATCCAATTTTTGGTGTCAGGTGCTGAGAGTACAAGAACGAGCAGAGCAAAGCCAGGCACGATTCCTGACCTCCAGCAACTTCCATTCTGACCGAAGACTGTCATTACAGAACTAACTGCATGTAAGTGTAAAATGGCAACCATGACAAAGTGGCAATGGGACAGGAGTCCAGAGGAACTGATGACCCAGCTGAAATCTGAGGGACAAAGGGAACTTACCCTGGGAAAGGGAGGACACTCCAAGCCACAAGGAATCACCAGATGGCATTCCAAAGTGGCTGTCCCATCTTGCATTCCCACCAGCAATGGATAAGAGTTCTTGTTTCATATTCTCATGAGCATTTGGTGTTGTCAGTGTTCTGGATTTTGGCCATTCTAATAGGTGTATAATTAACTAGCTTTTTATTGAAAAGAGATGAATCCCTAAAAGGATGGATTTTCTTCCTTCCTTCCTTCTTTCCTCATTCCCTCCCTCCCTCTTCTCTTTCTCTTTTTTCTTTTTGTACCAGGGATTGAACCTAGGGCGCTTTACCACTGAGCTACATCCCCAGCCCCTTTTATATTTTATTTTGAGACAGTCTGGCTAAGTTGCTAAGGTTGCTGAACTTGGTCTTGAACTTGAGATCCTCCTGCCTCAATTTGGGATTAGGGGTATGTGCCACTGTGCTGGGCCTGGGTGAATTTTCACAAAGTAAGCACACCGGTGTAACAAGGACCTAGATTAAAAAACAACATGCACCCCAGAAGCCACTTCTGGTTGTGACCTCCCAAGATCAGCACTCTGCCATAGAAGAGTTTTGTTGGGGTGTGATCTTTATGGAAGTGAGACCATACAGTGTGTGTTTTCAAATCTTTTCACTCAACTTTGCATTTATGAAATTGATCTTCATTGTTAAGAGTCATAGTGCACTCCCTCTTATTGCTATGACATAAGCATTTTTATTTGCATGTACCACTACTTATTTATCCATTCTCATTTATCTGAGTTGTGGCCAGTCAGGCAGTTACAAGTACTGCTACTAAGAACATTTATCTCATTTGGTTGGCACAGATCCTTATTTCTGCTAGGATATGCCCAGGGGTGGGGTGATCATAAGGTATGTTTATGTTCAGCTTAATGCTCTCTATAGTATGTGTTTTTATTGTGGTAAAATATGCATAATAGAAGCTTTACCAGTCTCCAAAACCTTTCGTCAGTTCTTCTTTCACTATCTGTCTCCAAAACCTTTCATCAGGTCTTTTTTGTTGTTGTTGTTCCTTGTGCATGTGAGGCAAGCACCCTACCAACTGAGCTATACACAGCCCTGTCATCTCAGATTTTAATGAAACTTCATCCTCATTAAAAGCTCACTCTCCCTCCCTGCAGCCCTATAACTTTCATTGTTTCCTCTGCTGTCTTAACCTCACAAACGTGGATTCCTACACTACTTGTTCTTTTCTCCTAGCATAATGTTTTCAAGATTCATCCATGTTGTCACATGTATCAGGACTTAATTACTTTTTAATGGCTGAACGATATTCCATTGAATGGATAGACCATATTTGTTTAAACATTCATTTGTTGATGAACACTTGACTTGTTTCCACCTTTTGGCTGTTGCTGTGAATTTTGGTGTACAAGTATCTGTTTGAATCCCTGCTTTCAAGTCTTTGGGGTATATAACCACAAGTGGAATTGCTGGGTCACATGAGGATTCCACGTGTAGTTTTTTGTAAGAACCACTGTCCTGTTTTCTACAATGACTATACCATTTTATGTTCCCACCAACAACTGATTGTTTTATTTTTGATGACTGCTGGGCACAGTGGGACCCACCTGTTATCCCAGCTACTTGGAAGGCTGAGGCAGTAGGATCATGAGTTCAAAGCCAGCCTTAGCAACTTAAAGGCCTCTAAGCAAATTAGCGAGACCCTGTCTCAACATATAAAAAATAAAAGGGCTGGTGATGTGGCTTAGTTGTTAAATGCCGCTGGGTTTAATCCCCGGTAACAAATATGTATGTATGTGTGTGTGTATATATATATATAATCTTTAAAGATTATATTCATATTCATGTAAATCAATTTTTATAATTTCTATAATTAAAAAATAGTTAAATTCATTAAAAGTTATTAATATGGTATCTAAAAAGCCAAGTGGTACAATGTTCAGGGAAAGAAGAAAAGTCAATGCAGACTTGAATTGCCATTGTGGGAGACAATTATGTTTGGCTAGAAAAAAATGTATTCTAGCTATTGAAATGACTGAGCCTCTTGATACTGAAATCATTAGAGCAAAATTTGCCATCAATTCAGAGCTAAAGAAGTCTCCTCTTCAAAAAAATGAAAAGAAATAAATAGAAAATTTAGAAACAAGTTATTATTAATATGAGCAAAAAAACTAAGGAAATGAATTTTTCTTTTAAATATTTTTTTAGTTGTAGATGGGTACAATACCTTTATTATTTATTTTTATATGGTGCTGAGGATTAAGCCCAGTGCCTCACACATGCTAGGCAAGTACTCCACCACTAGCCACAACCCCAGCCCCCTAAGGAAATGCCTTTGAAATTAATTTTTTGAGTCTTCATTGTGGCTACTTTGTGATAATGTAAAAATGACTTTGATAGAACAGCAACTTGGTGAATGCAAGAAGCAGGTTCTGGAATATCTGTCCCACAGTGGGCAAAGATTTTCTCAACATTTATTTTAAATGTTTTAAGACAGAGTGAATTAATTGTGACTGACTCATTAATTCCATGTAATTTTTTTTCCTTTTCATGCATACCTTTCTGCAGGAATACAACAGAATCAATTACTTGCAATTTGAAAAAGGTGTCGAAGATTGGAAAAATTAAGCAGAATTTGTGACCATGAACGCTTTGTTTCAGTGTGATGCTTTTCTAAAATTAAAGTATCTTTCTAAAAATATTCAACTGATAATTTAAAAAATGATGCTTTGCATTATGAAAAAGTTAGATAAACAAAAGTTCACCATTGAGGGTAGTTTAAATGTTACAAATAAGAAATCATTAGAAATCCAAGTGGTGCAATGTTTCCAGCCTTAGCTGATTTTATAGCTATTCGTAAAAGAGGATGTCTTATTTGTATAGTAAAATTCACAACAAATGTAAAATGACTTAATTGCCTTAGAGCTGAAATACTATCAAGAAAAAAAGAAACAAATGCTTCTGATTACTTTTTTTTTTTTGTACCAGGGATTGAACTCCAGGGCACTCGACCACTGAGCCACATCCCCAGCCCTATTTTGTATTTTATTTAGAGACAGGGTCTCACTGAGTTGCTTAGCACCTCCCTGTTGCTGAGGCTGGCTCTGAACTCGTGATTCTCCTGCCTCCGGAGCCGCTGGGCTTACAGGCATGCACCATGGAACCCCACCCTGATTACTTTTTGATGGTGCCCCAGGTACAGACCATGTGAGCACAAGATACACTCATACTGAGAACGGTGTCATAATGATAAAAGGTACATGGATTAGATCGAAATGTCAGAAAAGACAGGCAGGTCTAGCACATGAAGTTAGGGGCTAGAGAAGATACTGACATGAAAACTTCTTGTGGCCAGGTATAGGATGGTGGAGCAAACAGGACAGGCTGTACAACAGTTTGGCTAGAAAAACTGTGTTCAAGCTATTGAAATGACTGAGCCAGTGAAAGCTATTTCCCCCTGAAATAGCTTTGTGCCTTCCTCAGCTCACTATCTCAATATATACAAATGGTACTTTTGCGAAATGAAATTGAATAATCTTTCTTAGCATTACATATTTGTTTGTGTGTATATGAATTCAGTAAGCAGATAGACTATTCTCTGTTTTAAAAACAAAAAATACGTATGGACCCCATGGGAATCAAGGCCAAATACAATCAAGGTACTTTACAAAGAATGGATAAATATGCATGAATAGCGAAAGCATTTTGTTGTGACCAGATAATAAATTATTATGTAATCTACCTGTGTAGGATGATTTGAGCAAAGTAGAAAAGTTAATAAAGCTATACTGCAAAAAATTATAAAGCTGCATGCTTAGTAGGCCCATCCCCTTGCTTACAACAAATAAAAGTAAACTTGAGGGCTGGGGCTGTAGCTCAGTGGTGGACCACTTGTCTAGCATGTGTGAGGCACTGGGTTTGACCCTCAGCACCACATAAAAAATATAAAAAGTATTGTGTCCATCTACAACTAAAAAAAATAAAAAGTAAACTTGGAAGTATGTTTATCAGTTAAATTTTAGCAAAAGATATTAATATACTGCCTAAATTTTAAAATTTAAAAAGCATAGAAATTGGAAGTGAACCATCATTGGATGATAATGTTAATTATCATGGGAAAAGTGCTTATCAAATAGCAATTAAGTAGATGCCCTGGGATGGGGTTGTGGCTCAGTGGTAGAGTGCTTGCCTAGGAAGTATGAGGCACTGGGTTCAATCCTCAGCACCACATAAATGTAAAATAAAGATATTATGTCTAACAAAAACTTAAAAATAAATATTTTTTAAAAAGTAGATTCCCTAATTTTACATTTAAAATGGAGGTATAAAAAAATTAAAATATCTTTAGATTTTGAATTTTTCATTGGAAAATTTATATCCTTTTAATATATCTGATTCCCACAAGGCAACCACTTATTTGACATGTGTTCTGATGATTTAAGTCCTGCAGCAATTTTATCCAAAATAGTTTTAATCAGTAATTTGTAATAAAAAATGGATGTCTTATTTGGATCTTGTACCAATTCACAAATTTTGCTTAGTGCAATCTTATTGAACTTCAGAAATGGCCTTCTATCAGTCACAGCGTCATCTTTACAATAAATTTCAGCAAGCTGAAGTTAATAGAAAATTATTTAAGATTGAGAAACCAGCCTCTACCTCAGAGCAAAGCCTGTTCAAGGAAGGGGGCGTGACCTTGTCCTTGGAAAGACCCACAGAGCACTCCTAGGCACATACCCACCCTGCTGAGTTGTTTATCTACAAATAATAGGAGAGATCTGCTGCGCCTGGTGTCCCTGACTCAGTCAGGCTAGGTGAGGACCCATAGCAACCCCCTAGCAGCCACCAATCAGCATGAGACAGAGAAAATACCTGGGGTGCCAGATGACCCCCCAGTAGTTTATGGTGTTGTGAAACCACGTAGTTCAGCATTACTCCCCTCGTGGCTTAAACCAATCAGTTCAAACGAATCCCCCTCTTGTACTAACCCATCACCCCAACCCAACTTGTTCCCGCCAGTGAATGTGCCAATCATGTTTTAGAGTTGTGTTATGATTTTCCCGCAGTGTGTGATGATTTGCTAAGAGATGCTAGGATATATGTGGGGTCCCTGCCTTCCCCAAAGAGTGTATAAAACTGCTGCAAACCCTGGGCTCGGGGCCTCTCAGCGTCACCAGTTGCTATGTGCGCGGAGGACCGAGCTAGCTTGCAATAAACACCTCTTTGCTGCTTACATCAATCTTGGTCTCTGGTGATCTTTTGGGGGTCTCGAATTCGAGCATAACAAGATCATCCCTTGATCAAAAGAAACTCACATGACATTTGTCTCAGTTGAAAATGAGGACTGGGGCTATGGCTCAATGACAGAGCACTTGCCGAATATGCACAGGCCTTGGTTTCAATCCCCAGCCCTGGAAAGAAGACAAGAGTGCTTGCCTAGCATGTGTGAGGCACTGGGTCGAATCGTCAGCACCACATAAAAATAAAAGTAAATGTATCCACATACACACAAAAATAATTTTACCAAAATTGATGAGTTTGTTTCCATTAAAGTGAGGAAAATAAAATTCCAATTTTTAAAAACAAACATAAATTGGTGGTACTGGGGACTGAGCTCACTGAGTTACATCCCCGGTTCTTTTTATTTTTAGAGACAGGCTCTCCCGGACTGCCTTGAACTTTGGATCCTCCTGCCTCAGCCTCCCAGGAAACTCGAGTTGTAGGTGTGTGCTATCATGCCCAACCTACACAAATTTTCCGCTTTTCCCCCAATGGTTTTTTTGCCCACTTTTCTTCAGAGAGAAAAAAAAATTAAAAAATAAAAATTTCTACGAGGTGCAGTGGCACACACCTGTAATCCCAGGTAGGGAATCAGGAGGCTGAGGCAGAAGGATTACATCCTAGGCCAGCCTAGGTATTGAGGTTTCAGAAAAATAAGAAGAGCTGGAGATGTAGCTCAGTGGTAGAGAACCCAGGGTTCAGTCCCCTGTACTGCTAAAAAAAAACAAAAACAAAAAACCCAAACACATTTTTCCTTTGCTTAAGCCCCAGCGATGCTCAGCAGGGTAGTGAGACTGAGATAACTGGGAAGCAGAGTGAGGGAACCTTTGGGGTGACAGTACTGTCCAGTGTCCTGAGAAAGGTCTGAGTCACAAAGGTGTCTGCATTTGTCAAAACTCAGCCAACGTGCACCTACCAGCCAGGCATTTCATTGTTAAATTTTACATGAGAAAAAAACTGGGAGTAATGACCTCCAGTTAAGGACAGATATTCGGAAGCTTTTAGAACAACATGGATTCATGACGTGATGACGTGCTGCCTCACCAAAAGTGAGCCACAGAAGGGCGAGGCAGAGGACCCTGCTGTATCACACCTATTACACCACAACGCAGGAGAAGACCACCCACTCCAATTATAAATCAAATTATAGCAAGACTGTAATTCTGACCAGCTGGGATTCTCTCTCCTGAAATCCGTGGGTTAGAGGACAGGACCCCGGCTCTCTAGGAGCATGGCTTTGTAGCGCAAAAAGGGGGGTGTTTTGAGAACTTACAGATAACAGGATTTTGACAACCATAATACAAAGGCAAAGAGTATGTTAATGATGTAAATGGTTCAACATTTCAAGTTAGGGAGTTAATTTAGATCCCAACACCAGAATTTATGAGGCACCGCTAAGGTTTCAGAGAGGGCTGTTATCTGGTCAGGCATGGGGGAGTTCAAGGCACGGGCAGGCATTCCAAGCAAGTTTAGAAATCGCAGTAATTTATAGTGAAGCAGAAATTAACTTTTCATGACTTTGTGACAAGATGGCTCCCAATCTTAAGAGAGAATTAGGCTGGGCTCCTCATCAACACCCTCGTGGTGGAGTGGGGCGGGGCGGAGGGGGGTGGTGGTGCTGGTCCTCCACAGGCTGCCTTAATTGCTGGTCCATCTGAGAGTTGGTGAGGTCCAGGACCAGCTCCCACTAGCCTGCTGAGTCTCTCCAGGTGGGACATCAGGGCAGACCTGGCACTGGGAGAGGGGAGTATAGAATACACACCAAGAGCAGGTGAGGCCTAGGCTTCTTCCTCTCACCTCATTTTCCTTTCACTCTGCCAAGTGCAAGGTAAGGCCGAGGCTGACAGATTCACCAGAAAAGAAACAGGAGTCCAGGGCTGGGCACAGCTCAGTGGTAGAGAGTGCTCTTGCATGCACACACACTGAAGACAGGCAAGTGCTTCTTAGATTCAGTTTATTACTTGCACAAACAGGAAGAGTAGTCAAAGGGCCAGCTCCCTGTCAGATCGCTGGCGGTGACTTAGGAACAAAGCACCAAGCGTGCATGAAAGAAACATCAATCAGGAGCCATTGGAAACGCCTGCCAATCAGCAAGGTCTCCCGACAAATCCTGGATTTCAACTCCAGCGGGACCAGAGACTCTAAAAACACCTTTTCCTGTCCCAAGCCCTTCCCTTCCTGCTGTGAGCCCCGTAAAATCCCAGTCTGGTCAAGCTCCCACACGGTTTCTCCTCAGCCCCTCTCTGTCCACTCTGTGGGTCTGATCAAGTTCCCCCAGGAACTGAGTCTCAATAAAGCCTCGTTCAGCGGACTTTTAACTCTGCCTCCTTTAGTTGCCGCCACTGCCTGACCTTACATTCCCCATGGACCTTGAGCAGGGAGA